AGAGAATGTTGTGCTATTTTGCAGGGTAGCCTCGTTTGGTTATTTTTTTTTAGTATGTGGATAACAGGTCCACAATACAGTGTCTCCCTGCCTCCTCTAAACCACCAGTGTGGGCAGAAAAGTTCTGGGACAACTTTGGTCTCAATCAAAACAGGAAGATGATGGATACTTTATCCCCAGCCCAAGCGCTGTCCCTAAGCAGAAAGCCCAGGAGAGCTAACGATACCATACTCTTTAGTGGAGGCCTCTGGAACACAGATATAGGTAAAATTTGTTGTTTTCTTTCACATGATAGATACCTCCAGGTTATGTTTATAATTGCTTGTGTTAAGAAATAGACTTTTAAAATTATTATTATTACTTTTTTCCCTCTGTCATCCAGGCTGGAGTGTAGTGGCATGATCTCAGCTCACTGCAACCTCTACCTCCCGGGTTCAAGCAATTCTCCTGCCTCAGCCTGCTGAGTAGCTGGGATTACAGGCGCCCCCCACCATGCCTGGCTAATTTTTGTATTTTTAGTAGAGACAGGGTTTCGCCATGTCAGCCAGGCTGGTCTGGAACTCCTGACCTTAGGTGATATGCCTGCCTCAGCCTCCAAAGTGCTGAGATTACAGGTGTGAGCCACTGCAGCCAGTCTGTTATTTAATGTTGACAATACGTACACCTGTGTATGTGCACACATACACACACACACAGTGTTTAAAAGGTGAGACAGTTTCAGCCAACCACACAGACAGTCCTAGAGCACATTCACCTTCCACAGTTATCAGCCTCAACTCACCTCACTCACCCCCACCCACATGCTCCACAGATTCCCATCACCTGAAGCCTGGCCATTCTCCAAGCAAAGCCTGTAGTCTCCTGCCCTGTACCTGCCCCGCTTTATCTCAACACTAAAAGTCACCCACTCATAATTCTCTGGGCCCGTTACCTCTTCCTTTAAACCTCCTCTAGTAGTTCCTGGCATTCATTTGGCATCTGCATCTCCCAGGCCCCAGCCGCTCCCTTGAGGCTCTCCTCAAGGGCGGGAGTTCATCTCCATTCCACTCTGTCTCTGGCAGGCCCATGAGGTGTGCACTGCTGCTGTCCAAACTGTCTCGCTCTCATCTTCCCCCAAAGCAGGGGTTGTTTGGAGGGCGTGTTGCAGAAGATCCTTCATCCTGACAGGGTATAACTGCACTGCCTGCGTGAGACTGATGAGTTGGTGCATCAGGACAGGAAATGCCATTTTTCTTCACGTTTTCATCCTCTAACATGCTCAAGATTTGACTTACATGTACTGATTGTCTGTCTCCCTTTATCAGCATGTAAACTCCATGAAGGCAGAGATTTTTGTCTGTCTTGTTCACCACTGAACCCTCAGCCACTGAGGTACAGTGCCTGATAAAGGATAGGAACTCAGTAAATCACAACTGAATGAATGCATGAATTTGTCTCACAAAAGAGATCTCACAACAAAATCCTCTTAGTCTGGTTTTTTTTCTGTTTTGTTTTGTTTTTTTCCCAAGACAGAGTCTCGCTCTGCTGGCCAGGCTGCAGTGGTGCGATCTCAGTTCACTGCAACCTCCACCTCCCGGGTTCAAGCAATTCTCCTGCCTCAGCCTGCCAAGTAGCTGGGATTAGAGGCGCCCTAATTTTTGTATTTTTACTAGAAACGGGGTTTCACCCTGTTGGCCAGGCTGGTCTCAAACTCCTGACCTCAAGTGATCCACCCAGCTCAGCCTCCCAAAGTCCTGGGATTACAGGCATGAGCCACCGCACCTGGCACTCTTAGTCTGTTTGAGAGTTTGCATCCGCATATGAGAGAGACAGGGATGAAATTAGAACTACCCTAATTGCCACAGTATCCCAGCAATTCTACGCTTCCTTGCATCCACCAATGAAAGCCCTCTAAAAATCCCAGGGGACCTGCATATCCCCCCCCCCACCAACTGGGTATCCATCCACCTGCAGACTTATACCTCCAACCTTCTGGGAACACACATAATCTTAAGATGCACAACCACTTTTTCCAAGCCTCCTCTTCACTAAATTGCCCTGAATATGTGTTACAGGCTGAATTAGGTCCCCTCCAAAACTCATATGGTCAAGTCCCAACCCCCAGTACAACAGAATTTGACTACATTTGAAGAGAATGTCTTTGAAGAGGTAATTAAGGTAAAATTAGGTAAATAGGGTGAGCCCTGATCCAGTATGATTTGTGCCCTTATAAGGAGATTGGCCGGGAGCGGTGGCTCACGCCTGTAATCCCAGCACTTTGGGAGGACAAGGCAGGCGGATCACGAGGTCAGGAGTTCGACACCAGCCTGACCAACATGGTGAAACCCCACCTCTATTAAAAATACAAAAAAATTAGCTGAGCGTGGTGATGGGTACCCATAGTCCCAGCTACTCGGGAGGCTGAGGCGGGAGAATCGCTTGAGCCCAGGAGGCAGAGGTTGCAGTGAGCTGAGATCGTGCCACTGCACTCCAGCCTGGACAACAGAACAAGACTCCATCTCAAAAAAAAAAAAAAAAAAGGAGGAGATTAGGACACAGACATGCAGAGGGAAGACCATGTGAAGGCACGGGGAGAAGACAGCCATCTGTAAGCCAAAAAGAGAGGCCCCTGGAGGGTGGGGCAGGAGAATCGCTTGAACCCGGGAGGCGGAGGTTGCAGTGAGCCAAGATCATGACTCTGCACTCACTCTGGGCAACAGAGTGAGACTCTGTCTCCAAAAAAAAAAAAAAAAAAAAAAAAGGCCTCATAGGAAACCAACCCTACCCACACCTGGATCTCAGCCACCAAAATTGTAGGAAGAAAATCTCTGTTGTTTAAACTACCAGTTGGTGGTACTTGTTCCAACAGCCCTAGAAAACTAAAACAATCTGGAAATCCCAAAGAGAAATGTTTTTGTTAAGGATGCCCAAGTAAAATGCAGGCCAGTAAACTGCTTGGTACATTGTAAGAAGGAAAAAAAAAAAAGAAGAAGAAAGAAAGAAGCAAAGGCATAATGCATTGACTTTTTTTATATTTGGTATTTGTAAGTCTTTAAAAAAATGTTTTCAGGCCATTTTTTCCTTAAAAAAAAAAAAAAAAGCAACCAACAGCAATACTCTGTACAAGTATAACAAACATTAGAAATATGCATCATTCCAAAATAGTTACAAGAAAATTACAGTTTAGAGTCCACATCAACACATCCTATTCATATGTGCCCCCAAGGGAGAAAAAGCTACAGTATGTTAAACACACAGCTGCTACACAGTAGTCTGCAAACCCAGAACTTAAGACTTTTGAGGCAAATCAACCACAGTCACCGAGGCTTGTTTAGCTCAGTAAGTACAATCAAGCATTTCAAGAGAACCAGGCTTTTTCATCCCAGATGAAAAACAAACGCGATCCGCTGCAACGCTGACCCCGCCCCTCCATCCCTAACCCCAGGGAGCCTCTGACTCAAGAAAGCACAAATCCAGTGGAGTCAATTCGGCGGAACTCTGGCTGGAGGTCACAGTATGGCCGCGGTGGGCAGACACCAAATGTCATTTCCTGCTGGTGCCCAGATCATCACTAGATTCGACTTCGGAGGCAAGAAGTGGTGGTTTCCGGGAGATGCTATCAATGGCCCGAATCCCCCAAACGAGCCGGCCACCCATCTTTGGCCCTTCCATTGACACCGAAACCCACACCAGCTGCTTTTCTGTATGCAACTGTCAAAGACTGAGCAGGGGCGCTCACACCATCCCCCCGATTCCATTGGACTCTTCCAATTTGAGCTCATTGTTCCTGGGAGGGGTTGAGGCAGCTCGGAGGCACCCTCCTCTTGCCTCTGACCAACCCCCAGCCTGTGTGTCCTTTATAGTTACACATGAATCTTCCCTTTTCAAGCACTGTGCTATAAATACCCTTACCACCCCCACTGGCCCTGTCCCCAGCCCTTTTCAGGATGCAGAGAAGCATCGTGACCTTCGTGTGACCTGCCCATTTGGAATCCCAGACCGCTCCGCCGCAAGAGTTCCTCCCGTGATCGCTGGGGCCGCTTGCCCATTTCCCAAGCCCACACCAGGCGGAAGGAAAGAGGGTTACTGTGTTTTGCATTTTTATACAATGTGTTTACAATTATGTTGCTTTAATCTTTTAAAGGATTTAATCTTTTAAAGGATTTTTTAGCAACAAGTCCCTTCCTCTGACTTCCCGGTGGCAGTGATGTGGGCAGAGCAGAGCTCAGGAGCTACCTGGGATTTGCCAGCCATCACAATGGTTTCAGACACATTGGAGGGGAGAGGACCACAGCCCACAGAACTGCTGCCTGAACAGGGACCTATGAATGAAGTACCGACTGCTCCGAGATCTGCATGAGTTGGAGGCAGGCCGGTGTGAAGGTGTGGGAGGAATCTGCCCACGCCCAGCTTCATGCAACGCCCCGAGGACAGCGTGGCTTCCCTGATTCACCCCTACTGAGCCAAGGCCCCCTCTGAAGTTAGGTCAAGAGGGCCCGCCCTAGCCTGGCTAACTCATTCCTTTGGGGACCTGATACTCAATGAACTGCTTACTACCAAAAAAAAAAAATGCAAAGGATTCAGCAAAAAGTGCAATTTCCATTTGAGAAGTAAGATTCTCCCCAAAACACGACACCATCTTTTCATCCTTTCAGTACCTCAAAGGGAAAGGGAAATAAAAGGCATACAGCACTAACCCTCTGAACTACAGCCAGGGCGTTAAAAAGTGCGGTTCACCCTTTAGAACCCTAAGAGACCCATTAACACGTCCAGTCAGTTATCAAAGTGCCAGTGAGGTGAGGGGCGTGGCAGAGTCAGGAGGGACCAGGAGGCTGGAAGAGCCGGCTCCCATTCTCAACAGAACACACCTGTCCTGTTGACAGCAGGACGCATTACTGTGGAAACAGCCACAGGACTCCAGGGACTTGGTTATTCCTTCATAAAACCTTGTCAACTTCATTGCCTATTGGAGGTTAAACTCAAAACTTCTTCAAAATATAACCTGAGCCACAATATAAAATAAAAAAGAAGAAAAAAATCTTTTCATGTTAATGCCTTAAGAAGTTTACAGATTATGTACCAATAAAATAAATCCACATAAATTCTGAAATTCTTGGTGGACACACACCTGAAGCAAAAAAAAAAAAAAAATTAATCTACATTTTAAAAATCAAAGTAATTACAGCAGCAGTATAGTGAAAAGAGGTTTTAAAAATAATAATTACATCTTTGATACAAATTCAAACTTTGTACACCTCAATTCATAGGAATGACTGTTTTTGAGAGCTTAGTATATATATATATACACAGTAGATTCCGATATGTGTCACGGCAGAGAGAGACAAAAGCCAGTGGACTTCGGGGAAGGAGGGATTAATCTGATGCTGAATTCACGCTGAAGTGTTCACAGATTGCCACGCTTCTGAACATACACACACACATACACACGGACACAGACACTTAAAATGCCAACCTGAGTAAAACGTTACTAAAAACCTAGAACATCATGAATCACTAAGTCACATATTGCACCTTTAAATAATCCTTCATACCAAATACAGACATGAGAAAAAGGATAATACAGGGACAGGAAAAGGATTTCTGTCACTGTAGGATTCCTCTGCTTCTCCCATTCCCACCCACAGAAATTCTCAAGGTGATATTTGAGTCGCCATTCTCACCCAACCAATGGGCTGAAAATGTTGCCAACAGAAGAGTCTTTGGAGAAAACTGGGAGGGAAAAAGGAAGAAAAAATGGAGCACAAATGTACAGGGGGCAGGGGACGTGGGGTCAGGGCAAAGAGGCCTCCCCTGATCAAATGAGAACAGAAATGTTACGGAGGAGGCAAACCTCTGATGCTAAACTACTGTTTAAATATTCCGTATATTCCAATTATGAGATTCAGTACAAAAATATAGATCTCTACTGAGTTTTGCCTGTGGAAGCATAATTCAGAAAAGGCACATGTTCAAATAGAAAACCCATTCGGAAGAGGCGCCACGTACCCCTCCCTGCGCAACCATCATCCACAATTAGGTATTTTCCATCGGCTAGATTCCAAGATACAGTAGGTAAAAATAGACCTCTGATACTTAAAATATATTCAACCCAACACAATCCTGGCTTTAGCATGTGAACCATATAAAATAGTCTTTTTTAAAAAAGAAATTGTTTTGGAAAAAAAATCATAGCTCCCTTTTCCTGGTTTTCCACAATCCTCAAGGGGGGAAAAAAAAAAAAAAAAGAAAAGTGACCTCATCCCATTGGTCATCAGGAATGCAGGTGATTTGCTCCCCACCCATCCACAGCCCCCGACAGCCCCAATTTGTCATCTGTCACGTGCAGCTTCATGCCCTCAAAATTAGTTCTCACAAAACAGAACAAAGAATTAAGATATTAGACATATAAAAACATGTCGACATCGGGGCCTGTGCCTTCGCTGTGGGTGCGACGGTCTGGTTCACTCCAGAAAGGTTTCTCCTTTGGAATTAGGCGATGTAACCATTGGTCTTTCCGAATGTGGTCACGGGTGCCAGGTTTTCATAGATTGTCATTGCAGTTGTGTTCTGGTAGATGAGATCTACTTTGGAGTCTTTCTGGGATCTGACAATATCCAAAACACACTGATTGAGGAAAACATACTGGTCCTGATAGAAAAAGGAAAGAGAGAGACAGAAAATGAACACGGGTCCCAGAAATGAGCACCCAAAATTATTTTCAAACAGGTAATTCCCCGGCCCCACTCCCAAACCCCATCCACCCAACAGCAAACGGTTCAGGTGAACGTGTTTCGAGACGTAACAGCACTGCAGTGAAATCTGAAATCACAGAAGCAAGATGTCCATCGTCGAAGATTCTCAACCAGAAGAGCACACACCACACCTCCCCTCCCCAAGGAGAAATGCCACAGTCTCGGGGAAGGGCAACGAAAGGAGGAAATGTAGAGGAAAGAAGGCACACACACATTCGAACAATCAAATGTCCAACAAGATGGCCTTGGCTAGTGAGGCCGTGCAGGGTAAGAATCAACTGTTATGCCCAACCGAGAAGCGAGGTTAAAAGGAGATGATCAGGTGGAGCTGGACGAGGACTACCCTTCAGGCAAGTATATCAGAATCTCCGGGTAGTGATGAAAAAAAGGGGAAATGGGGGTATAAGCTGACAGAGAAAAATATCCATGATACTGTAAGAGGAGGAAAAAAAACACAGAGAAGCAACATATATAAAACAGGATCTGGCCAGGCGTGGTGGCTCATGCCCGTAATCCCAGCACTTTGGGAGGCCGAGGCAGGTAGATCGGCTCAGGTTAGGAGTTCGAGATCAGCCTGGGCAACATAGTGAAATCCCGTCTCTACTAAAAATACAAAAATTTGCTGGGCATGGTGGTACATGCCTGTAATCCCAGCTACTCAGGAGGCTGAGGCACGAGCATCGCTGGAACCCAGGAGGTGGAGGTTACAGTGAGCCAAGATGGTGCCACTGCACTCCAGCCTGGGTGACAGAGCGAGACTCCATCTCAAAAAAAAAAAAAAAAAAAAAAAACCGGATCCAATTTTTTCAAAGTACTGTGTGTCTGTGTGTGTGTGTGTGTGTGTATGTGTTTACAGATGTACATAAAGAGTCTTATAAAGATGGACACCAAACTATAAACATTGGCTACCTCCAGGAAGCAGGACTGGGAAAGGAAAAGTAAGAGAAAAATATATTGAGGCCGAGCACAGTGGCTCACGCCTATAATCCCAGCACTTTGGGAGGCCGAGGAAGGCGGATCACGAGGTCAGGAGATCAAGACCAGCCTGGCCAACATGGTGAAACCCCGTCTCTACTAAAATACAAAAAAAATTAGCCAGGTGTGGTGGCACGTGCCTGTAGTCCCAGCCACTTGGGAGGTTAAAGCAGGGGAATCGCTTGAACCCAAGAGGCAGAGGTTGCAGTGAGCCAAGATCACACCACTGCACTCCAGCCCAGTGACAGAGCAAGAATCCGTCTCAAAAATAAAAATAAAAAGAGAGAGAGAGAGAGAGAGAAATATATTGTCAAATGCTTTCATATGAATAAGTATTGTTTTGAAAATATAAAAAAGATTAGACTCTAGTAGCAGGGATAAGAGTTCTGTGTTTCTCAAAAAAGGATAAAAGATTGAGAAATACTACTTTATATAATCATAGCAGAAAAAAGACAATCTCTCTTTTGACCAACACAGGAGGTGAATTTCACTCTTTCCACAACAACCATCAAGCTCACCCCAGAGCACACAATGTACCCAGGCATCTAGAACATTCCCTGCTAGACTCAAAAACACAGCATATATTCATAGAGTTCTAAATCGGTACAGGACGATAGCCTGATACAAAATTAATATTCTGCTCTCATCCTGGTCAAGGAACATTCACCCCTTTGAGGAAAGCAACTTTGCAATATGTTCTCTGTTGAAAACATGCCTCAAAAACACTGCTTCTCAGTAACATTTTGGGTAAAACCAAATCCAACAGTAGTACAGAAATTATACCATAGATATTAAGCATTCCTTTTCTTCACTGGTCAGCCACCCTTCTGTAGCTATGATAATTGATATTCTTTAAAATGTATAAGTCTGAGTGAGGATAAATTGCTGTATTAACATTTAAGTGGCATTATATGTCACATCATTGATGTTTGATGAGTTTGTTTCATTAGCTTATTTTAAAGATGGTCAGATCTTCTTAGAAACAAAGAATGGAAAATACCAGTTTTATGAGTTTAAAACCCAGAAGCCAAAGTTCAAAGATGTCCCAAGATTATTTAATGAGTCAGAGGCAGCAAGGTAAAGAATCCTGACACCATCTCAGATTGTAGTTCCATTACTGACATCAGTACTACTATGTCAACTTAATTCCGAGTCAGCTTAGAGTCTGCAAAGAAATCCAATGTTAGTTCACAGCCAAGAGCCAGAAAGATCTGGAAGGGTGACATATTTTAACACGAGTGCATGATACAATGCAACCTTTTAAAAATGGAGGGGAAGGGCCAGGCGCAGTGGCTCACGTCTGTAATTCCAGCACTTCGGGAGGCTAAGGCAGGCAGATCACTTGAGGTCAGGAGTTCGAGACCACCCTGGCCAACATGGAGAAACCCCATCTCTACTAAAAATACAAAAATATAGCTGGGCATGGTGTGCGTGCCTGAAATCCCAGCTACTTGGGAGGCGGAGGCAGGAGAATCGCTTGAACCCAGGAGGCAGAGGTTGCAGTGAGACGAGATCACGTCACTGCACTCCAGCCTGGGCGACAGAGCGAGACTCCATCTCAAAACCAAAAAAGAGGGGAAGGGTGGAATGTCAAATACAGATCTTGACCTCACCTCTGTCTGCACCATTAAAGGCCTATGCATTCGAAGGTCATACACAATCCCATATACATCCACGGTGTTCTCATTCTCTATCTGGTAGATGAGACGATCAATGGCAATGAAAGTGCCCGTCCTTCCGACCCCAGCACTGAGAGAAAAGAGAAATAAGCCTATTACAGTGGGTTTCCTCAACTGCAAGCCTCTTAGAGTTCCTCATTTGTACATACGTCTTGCTTTCCTTCACTGTCACACTTTGAGGGCAATGTGCAGGATCAATACACATTTGCTCAGTTGAAGCCTCAGCAAGTCACACAGCACTAGCTTGGGACTGGGGCCTAAGTCCCAAACTCACATTTGAGTCAAATGCCACATATACAACCCCTTGCTCGAGCTTCTTCAATCTCAGTCCCATTCAAGTTGCCACCATAACCTAGGATGGCATGTTTCATCTATTTATTCCCCACTGGGCAACAGAGCCCCTCCTGTCTTCTGTCCTAAGTTAATTCCTTTAGCTTCAAAACGAACTTCTTGTTAGGCGCTGGCAAACTTTTTCAGTAAGGGCCACAGAGTAAACATCCTAAGCTCTGCAAACCATATGCTCTCTTTCTGCCGTTGTAGCAGAAAAGCCACCATAAACAATATACAAATAAACGGGCATGCTGTGTTCCTGGAAAATGTTGTTTACAAAAACAGCAGCTGACCAGATTTGATCCATGGGTTACAGTTTGCCAACCCCTGTTTTGGAAGTTCAGGGTTTAGGGAGTAAGTCCATGGTTGCTTATCCAAACCCTTTCCTGAATTCGTAAATGCCTATTACATTCCCTCTTAGGCTTTGCTTATGTAAAGTGCTGATAAATATATAATAACATTGGAAATCTGTCACACATGACGTGCCATCTGCATACCTGCAATGCACCAGAATCGGCGATTCGGGAGGACTCTGCTTCATGTAGTCACGAACGAGGTACCGGAAGTTGATGAGCAGGTCAGTGGTGTCCGGAACACCGTGGTCTGGCCAGGAGGTGAAATGGAACTGTCTCAGAGGGTGACTCTCACTTGTCTGGATCTAAAAGCCCAGAAAATGAGTTAGATCCAGACAGAAAGGCCGCCTAACAACATCAAAAAGGCAGGGGAAATCAAGCACAGCCTGAGTAGTAACTGGGAGTTGTAATGACTAAAAATGAAACTTCACATTTGCACGCAGCTGATAAAGTGCTTGCTCATCAAACCCTCACAATATGCCCAAGAAGGAGAGTTTATTATCCCCGTTTAAAGATAAGGCAGCAGCGATTCATAGAAGTGAAGTCATTTCCCTGACACTGATTTTAGATGCAACGGAAGTCCCTTATCCTCCAGTTCTGCGTTTAGATCCTTCCCTTCCTGACACAGCTGCCTGTCAATTACGAACTCACCTCCTTAGAACTTCATGAGCCCCATCCCCGAGCCCCCCTGGGAATGCCACTGACCATAAAACCAAAAATAATTTACTCAAATACACCATGATAATCAGTGCCATCTGGGCAAGAATGGCCTCATAATTCACTATGCCCCCTAGAGAAGCGAATAAAGTGACAGGTCACTGGCAAGCACCATGCAAGTATTTAGAATTGGAGAGAGCTGAGAAAGGACTCCCCCAAAAAACCATCCATTTCAACATCTGAAAGACAATAGAGCTCATTATTACACAGGTTCCCTGGTAATAATGGTTCCCTACCTCACTCCAAAGCATATACCTTGAAGCCCAGAAGCCCACCACAGCTGGGGCGGGTCCTGTCCCTGACTCAGCTGTACTCGTTATGCCCATACCAGGGAATGACCGTACCCATGTGACCTACATCCGCGCTGCAGGCATTTCCATCTCCTTTATGACAGGTGCCCTTTGACACTCATTTTTTTCAAATGTATATTCATGATAAGAACAATAAATCTGCAGTATTCAAAATTTGGAAAACAGCAGGAAACAAAGATAGAGTGAGGGGAGAGGTGCTAGAAGACCTCATCACAGATAAAGTTAACATTCACAAATGTAACCAGAAGTACTGATCCGAAGTCAGAAACCAGCTGTGAGAGATGGAGGTGGGGGAAGGGGAAGAAAAAAGGAGGGAGAGGGAGAGGGGAGGGGAAAGGGAGTGGGAGTGGGGAAGGGGAGAAGGAGGGGGAGAGGAAGAGGGGGAAGTGCGGAGGGTTATACTTAGCATTATCTTCGTGGAGGGCCGAAGGGGCTCGGGTTAGGGGTGGTAGTCAAAGGAAACCATTAGCTCTGTAATGTTCTCAGTTTTCTAAAGGAAAATGTATTCATGCATTTTGTATAATTAAAAAATAACATGGTACTAAATGCCATATGGTGTCCTGGATCAGCTCCTGGAACAAAAGAAGGCTTTAGTGGAAAAACATGAAATCGGAATAAAGTCTGGAGTTTAGTTAATAAAAAATAATCATCATAGTAATAGCAATTTTAAAAAATGATGTGGACGACTCCACCCAAAATGCCCCTCCACAAAGGTAAGCCCCAAGCAGCGGAGGCAACCAAGGAGAAGCCAGTCCGTTCAAATGAGCAAAATCTATAGAAATAAGCATGAGAGGCCGAGCATGGTGACTCACGCCTGTAATCCTAACACTCTGGGAGGCCGAGGCAGGCAGATCACAAGGTCAGGAGTTCAAGACCAGCCTGGCCAATATGGTGAAACCCCGTCTCTACTAAGAATTCAAAAAAAAATTAGCTGGGTGTGGTGGCAGGTGCCTGTAGTCCCAGCTACGCAGGAGGCTGAGGCAGGGGAATTATTTGGACCCAGGAGGCGGAGTTTGTAGTGAGCTGAGATCACACTACTGCACTCCAGCCTGGATGACAGAGCGAGACTCTGGAAGGGGAAGGGGAAGGGGAGGGGGAGGGGGAAGGGGAGGGGAGGGGGGAGGGGAGGGGAGGGGGAGGGGGGAGGGGAGGGGGGGAGGGGGGAGGGGGAGGGGGAGGGGAGGGGAGGGGAGGGGGAGGGGGGGGAGGGGGAGGGGGGGGGAGGGGAGGGAGGGGGAGGGGAGGGGAGGGGGGAGGGGGAGGGGGAGGGGAGGGGGAGGGGAGGGGGAGGGAAGGAATAAGCACGACATTTTTCTACTACTGTGAGCTGCATTATTTAGGTGGCCAGATCAGTGAATGGTAACAGCTTTGATGGCATCTTCAGAGGAGGAACTGAAATATTGAGGCCAGACCCTTTGAGACACAGCAATTAGTAAAGAATTAGTACTTAATATACTATACTTTATCCATGACTTATGGAATCTTCAAGAATAATCTCATAAACTAGACCCTAACCCATCAACCCCAAAACGCACCCAAAAGATTCAAGATTCAACTCCAATGAATCTACTTTCCAGCTTTCCTTTTATGCACTACTCATAATATGCATAAATTTTCATCTCCTAGAATGTTTCTCTTACATTACATCCTACCATGTCCCCATGGTAATTATATAGTCTACCCATCCATTATTTTTTTTTTTTCTTTTTTATTTTATTTTTTTTTTTTTTTGAGACAAGGTCTTGCTTTGTCACCCAGGCTGGAGCACAGCGGGCACAATCACTGCAGCCTCGACCTCCTGGGCTCAAGCCATCCTCCTACCTCAGCCTTCCGAGTAGCTGGGACTACAGGTGTATGCCAGCACACCTGACTAATTTTCGGGTTTTGTTTTGCTTTGTTTTTGTAGAGACGGGGTTTCAGCATGTTGCCCAAGCTGGTCTCAAACCTGAGCTCAAGCGATCCTCCCACCTCAGCCTCACAGGCATGAACCAGCACGCCTGGCCCATCATTTCTAATAGCTGAATAATGATATTATAAGCAGGCGAGTCATAGTTGAGTTATCCATTCTACAAAAGCTAGATGTCTGCATGGTTTCCAAAGTTTTTCTCTATTATAAATAATGCTGAGATTCGTCTTTCTGAATAAGCCTTTTGTTGCATTTCAGATTATTTCCTTAGGATAGTCTCAGACTTCGAGCCAGCAAATCAAAGAGAACAGACATTTTTAGGCCTGTGATATAAACAGCAAAGAGTTACGCCAATGCACACACCCATCAACAGATACCAACACTGCTTCATGGCACTGCCTCTATTTTCAAAGCATCCTTGTAAAAGGAAAAAGGCACATAAACTTGACTTCCTGGAATGCCTGCACAATTTAATTGGATTGGCTTTTGTAAATTTTGAGGGGAAGGGAGGCCATGTGCATAAGCCCTGGAATCCTATTAATGTAACTGTTATCAATTACTCCTAAGAGCAAGTAGCCGCTCCTGATGCCATATTTCTAACCAAATAATCCAAAAGGCTACGGTTTGTTCTATAAAATCTATGAGCAAGTCACCTGGAAGTGGAAAGAAAGGAAAGAGCTCCTGATGCAGAGCCATGCTCTTAAGATTCATTTTATTCAGCAATAACTTAGGAAATTCCCAAGAAAGTAAATTTCCCAGAAAAGTCAAGGGGTTGCCTTGGAGTATACATGCATATGGATTGTTCTGTTCTGAAAGGAAGGAAGCAAAACATTTCTCACTACATAGGAAAACATATGAGTTAATATCAACCTAAAACATATCACCCCCAAATTAACATATAGTAATTACATGAGCTCGACTGATCCTGACTTCTTACTTACATTTTTCACTGTGAAATCTCTGATGGTCCATTCCGGGAGAACAATTTCTGATGTCATTGCCACAGTTATGTCTCCATAGTCCTGAGCCTGCTTGGAGGGCCAATACTCCTCACATTTGGTCTAGAACAAAATTGCATTTTTATAAGAAGACTCAGATCGTGCCATCTGCCATCACTAAAACCTCACAAGGGAGACTAGCTATTGAAAACTGGCATCAGAGACGGAATCAGACCTTCTAGTTGGGTTTTGTTTGACTCTTTGAATTGTTTTATTTTTTAGAGACAGGGTCTCACTATGCTGCCCAGGCTGGAGTGCAGTGGCTATTCACAAATGAGATCATGGCACACTACTGCCTCCAATTCCTGCACTCAAGCAATCCTCATGCCTCAGCCTCCCGAGTAGCTGGGTCTATGGGCACACCACAGCGCCTGTCAGAATTGTTTTTCTTATTTTAATTTACAATTATTGCTAACTCTTAAAATTCCTCATAAAAATCCAGACTTATTTTCTCTTTAAAAATCAGATCTGCCTACACCAGGTCCAGCTTTCAGCATGAAAACTGATTTAGAGCAGAGCAGCAGCTGGTCCTTGACCTGGGACACCGTCCCTATCCAGCTCCCTGTGCCCCTAGAGTCGCCACTCCACAACTGTTCACTAACCTCATCCTCTCCCATAACCCCAGACAGCTGGAAGAAATGAGGACTTTTTCCCAAGGCTTTCAGATATACATTGGTTGCAATACAAATACACACACCAATAAAGAAAATCAAATTAAATCATTCTGGGGTCTTTGATTTCTATAAAGTTGGTGGACAGATGTGAACAGAAATAACCAGGAAACGCCTGCTCTCCGAGAATATCTGAATCCCCATTTGGCAAAAGACGACACACAGACACACACGCTCTCAACATTCTAAGGTGCGCTCTGCTGCTGGTAGTTTTCAAAGCTAATTGATTATCTGACTCACCTGAGAAGTCTGAGTTGTTTTGGGGTTTTGTCTTTGTTTGTTTGAGACAGTCTCACTCTGTCATACAAGCTGGGGTACAGGGCACGATCATGGCTCACTGAAGCCTCAATCTCTCCAGCTCAAGGGATCCTCCCACCTCAGCCTCCAGAGTAGCCTGGACTACAGGGATGTGCCACCATACCCAGCTATTTTGTATTTTTGTAGAGATGGGGGTCTCACTATGTTGCCCGGGCTGCTCTTGAACTCCTGGCCTCAAGTGATCCTCCCACCTCAGCCTCCCAAAGTGCTGAGATTACAGGCCTGAGCCTCTGTGCCTGGCCTTGTCATGTTTAAAAAGAGATGCCTGGGTTCTACCTCCAGAGATTCGGACTCTGGCTGCGGGATCTGTATTTCTTTAAAGACCCAGGTTCCGAAGAAACAACCCAGGATCTGGATTCACACTGGCAGGGAGTTGAGTCTCAGCTCAGCCTCTTACCAGGTGTGTTTTTGTTTTTGTTGCTACCTTGTGGGCAAGTTCTTAACCTCTCCAAGGCTCAGTTCCCCCATCTATGAAATCGTAATACCTCACAGGGTTGTTACAGGAAAGAAATAACATATATGGAGAACCTAGTGTAGAAAATACACTCCCGTCCCCATTCACCCAGGGTCAGTAACACTCACTTCAGTCTTGATTTTAGATGAACAAGACACCATTTAAATTCATCTTCATGTTCTCCATTAATGTAATTATGTCATTTTTGTTTGTCTAACAGATAGATGTATAAGAATGTTTCATGTATAAGGCCCTGGGCTCAACAGTATTAAAAAATTCATTTGCATTCTTCTTTTTTTTTTTTTTTTTTGAGACAGAGTCTTGCTCTGTTGCCTAGGCTGGAGTGCAGTGGTGCAATCTCGGCTCACTGCAACCTCCGCCTCCCGGGTTCAAGCCATTCTCCTGCCTCAGCCTCCCAAGTAGCTGGGATTACAGGCACGCACTACGACGCCTGGCTAATTTTTGTATTTTTAGTACAGATGGGTTTCACCACATTGGCCAGGCTGGTCTCAAACTCCTGACCTCAGGTGGTCTGCCCGCCATGGCCTCCCAAAGTGCTGGGATTATAGCTATGAGCCACCACACCCGGCCCATCTACATTCATTTAAAAAACACTTTTGCTGGGCGTAGTGGCTCATGCCTGTAATCCCAGCACTTTGGGAGGCCGAGGCTGGTGGATCATAAGGTCAGGAGATCGAGACCATCCTGGCTAACACGGCGAAACCCCATCTCTACTAAAAACACAAAAAAAATTAGCCGGGCGTGGTGGTGGGCGCCTGTAGTCCCAGCTACTCAGGAGGCTGAGGCAGGAGAATAGCGTGAACCCAGGAGGCGGAGCTTGCAGTTACCGAGATCACGCCACTGCACTCCAGCCTGGGTGACAGAGCAAGACTCTTGTCTCCAAAAAACCAAACCAAACCAAAACAAAACAAAAAAACGCTTTTATTTCTACTATAGCCTATTCTCCTGATTCAACAAGAGGGTAAGGAGCCCACCCTCTATCACAAGCAACATGAGGATGGGCGTCATCTCTTACTGCTCTGTTATCTTTCCCTCCTCCATCCCCAGCCCCTAGCACAGGACCTTACCTACACCAGGGGCTGGATAAACATCTGCTAGCCTACAATGAATTATAGAACTTTAAAAGAAATGATGCCTGATGGGCGCCCACTATCCCAGGGATAGCACCACTCCAAGTATGCACCCTGGTGCCACGGCAGCAGAATCATCTGAAAACAGGCAGAAATGCAATTCCGAATTAGAAATTCTGAGGGTAGAACCACCCTCCTGGTGATTCTGATGGATGCTAAAGTTTGAGATCTACTGGCTTAAGGAATCGACTCCTATTCCTCAAACAATGAACCTACACTAAAAAACAACTCATAAAGCAACATTAAGTCCCATTCCTAAGGCACAGCATTTTTTAGATTAGCATGTGTTTTTCAGTTCTCTTCACATCAATTTATGGAAATACAGAATTTTATTACTATAAAAAATCTTGGCCAGGCATGGTGGCTCACGCCTGTAATCCCAGCACTTTGGGAGGCTGAGGCAGGCGGACCACAAGGTCAGGAGATCGAGACCATCCTGGCCAACACAGTGAAACCCTGTCTCTACTAAAAATACAAAAAGTAGCTGCACATGGTGGTGCCTGCCTGTAATCCCAGCTACTCGGGAGGCTGAGGCAGGAGAATCGCTTGAACCAGGGAGTCAGAGGTTGCAAAAGCCAAGATTGCATGACAGCACTCCAGCCTGGCGACAGAGTGAGACTCCATCTCAAAAAAAAAAAAAAAAAAAAAAAAAAAAATATATATATATATATATATATATATATATATAAAATCTTTGATGGAAGCAGCAGAGGGATTTCAGGGCGTTACAGGAGAGAGGGGGCTGCTGAGGCTTATCCAGGGATAAGTCTGAGATTTTGCTTAAAGAAAGGGTTCCAGGCCAGGTGTGATGGCTCACGCCTATCATCCCAACACTTTCGGAGGCCAAGGAAGCAGGGTCACTTGAGGTCAGGAGTTTGAGACCAGCCTGGGCAACACAGTGAGACCCTGCCTCCACTAAAAACAAGAAAAATTATCCAGGCATGTGGTGCCGCCTGTAGTCCCAGCTACCCGGGAGGCTGAAGCGGGAGGCAGCCCAGGAATTCAAAGCTATAGTGAGCCATGATCGCACCACTGCACTCCAGCCTGGCTGACAGAGGAGACCCTGTCTCAAAAAAAAAAAAAACCCGGGGGGGCTCAGTGCTGAACCTAAGTTTGAAAATCATCGAGCTGATGGAAATCCTCATCTCACAGATGAAGACACCGGTTGCTTAGAGACATTGATGGGCTTGTCCGTGTTCACGGGGCCAATGAAGGACAGAGCCACACCGTCAACAGCATCTTGCACTAAGCCTGGGAGATTTTTCCACGGCACTAACCCGTTCCTGCTTACTAACTCCAGCCACGACGTAATAAATACAAGACACTGATATTTGCCCACACAAAAAAAGATAATGACAAAATTGTTTAAAGCATGTTTTTAAACGTTTCTCTTAAGGGGAAAAAAAGAAAACAAGTTTATAAGAATAAAGTGCTAATGTTTGAGGTTTTTTTTAAAGAAACAAGTGGTTTTTAAGATACCCCTCTGCCACAAAAGAAAGCAATTAATTTAATGTAATTTTAAATTTCAAAAACTAAAAAACATACTTACTCTTCCCTGTTCAACACATTTGGTCAACATAATGATGGCATATACATTTTTCTCCCAAACCATACGCCAAAAATCTTTCAAAGTGTTCGGTAAAGGTCCTTGTGTGGCAATAAAATCTTTCTTGGAGTGGTAGCCCTAAAAATAGGAAACAACACATAGTCAACCTCAAAGAAACAGAAGGAAGCAAAGCGCTCTAAAGATTTCATCCAAACAGTCCAGTGCTGTGAGACCATCCCCCAACTTACAGGCATGTAGTTGGCATTGATGTAGTCGTCCGTTGAATGGGTCTGGACCGAAAGTTTGACACGGGAAATATCATCTGTGACATTAAAAGAGAAAAGGTCCGCATTATAAGCAAACGTTTTAGTAAAGCTGGACACAAAACAGAAAAAAAAAAATGAAATTCAAAATGGCAACACTGGGACTTGTGTCTTTGAAGATGCACAGCATGGCATTTCACATAGACCACCTCATTTAATCCTCATGGTCACTCTATGTGACCATGGCACAGAGCAGTCACACTATCACAGAGCAGAGCTAATGACTGGCATGGCCAGGATTTGAACCTGCAGCCTGACACCAGGGCCCAAGATCTTAACCACACCAGACGCCTTCTCCCATAAAATGAACCTGTTACTATTAGCATCCTCAGGTGTCTACCATGAGCTCACATGAGGGAATACGCTAAACAATTTTATTTACTCCTCAAAACCACCCTATAAGCCTCTGCCCTGTTTCACAGATGAGGAAACTGAGAGTTATAGAGATTAAGTGACTTCTCCAAATCCATATATCTGGTGAGGGGCAGTCGAAATTTAAATCTAGTGCCCCTTCCACTAGGACAGGTTAAGTCCCTAGGTTAACCTTTCTACTCTGCCTCTAGCCTCTATTCTCATACAAACAAGTTGTTATAAAAAGAGAGTACCAAGTTCAAGAATAAATTGAATGTATAAGACTACTATCAGAAGGAGGATCTAAAACACAGAATTATGTTTTATAAATATTATTGTCATCTCAAAAGCATACACACAAACTTGCCCAACCTAAGAGATGAAATAATAACCTTAGAACTGTGAGGGTCAGGCTGAGCCAGAAGCAGCACCACCTGACTCTCCTTGCCTCTGATTGTACTACCTCACCCTCCTCTGGACAAAATAACATAACAATGCTAAGTCCAGTACTGACCTGAGTCTCAGCCTAAAGACTTCCCAATAAAAACAATACCCAAACACCCACGTCCCAGCTCCCACTCCAGATCTGAGAATCTCCACAGACATTCACAAGAAGCAGCCGATGATCCCAAATTACCCTTAGAAGGGCAATACCCTCAGCCTAGTTTTAAAAGCATTTCTCTCAGAACATGGGCCGATATTCCTTGTCAAGTACAGGGAAGTAAGTGGAGAGAAAGAACCCAAGAACAATGCTGAATTTAAAAAGAACTTAATGTTTTAGTCCAGGAATGAAAAACACAGCTTCAAATAAAGACGATGATGTCCTGATGTAAAAATTATCTGCAAAGTCTATCAATTTCAGCTACATCAGAACATGGCTACAGTCTATTTATGCTCCTCTCTGTGCCCTAATCCCCACCCAAAAGAGAGATCACGATGAACTTTCGATGGAGAAGTATTTACATTTCATCTAATGGTTTGATGTAATAAATAATTCTCATTTTAAACTCAATTTGCTGTTATCCCTGTTGACTAAGATGTAGACATTCTCAAAAACAGGAAATGAGCTAAATATAATTCATACTTAGCTGTGGAATTCACTCAGCCCATGTGTCTGGACACAGAAAAGTGTGACTCCCTGTCTCGCTCTGCTTGCTTTCATTCCAGAATTATAGAATTGAAATAGTTGTGAGACAGAGGGGTTAAGAACACAGACTCTGGCCTTTTCCCTCAATAAGATAGACCTAGTACAAAGCCTAGTCTTCCCGACACTATCTGTGTAACCTTGGAAAGATCACCTAACCACTCTGTGCATTTTCCTTACCTGCGAAACAAATATTCTACTACCTACTTCATAAGGCTGTTGTGAGGATTAAATTAAAGATAATGTACCTAAATATAGTGCTTAGCACATAGTAGGTGAATAACGGATGGTTGTGGAAGTAGGTGAACCATGAATGGTTGTGGAAGTGGTTACTTAGGATCACTGATTCCCTCCCCTCTACAGTTAGAGATGTGATGGCCACTGATGGAAAACAGAGAAGATGCTGTGGATAAAATAACTTACAGGGCAGAACATTATTATAGCGATTCTTTCCTCTATTCTCAGCCAGTCCTGCTGCATATTTAGGTTGACTAATTCCAACCAGCTTCAGATCCTGAAAACAGAACAAATGAGGTGTTCATTTATTTAGTCTTCAAATATTATTCATATTTAGCATAGCATATGACAGTGAAACCAGCCCAACAGTCCCATAGACAAGTCGTTTTTGAATAAACATAGAAACTTACCCTTCTTCTATTAAAGCCTGAAACTTGTATTTGTTTTATCTGAGTTCCTTTCTCAGGAAAGGACCTTCAGGAAGTACCAAAGAACTGAAACTAGTCAGATCACTGTACCAGATGCCTCCTTGCCCCTCCCTAGTTCCTGTTTTCTTACACATTGTTACATTTCTTTCCTGCTATATGAACCCCTGGTTTTAGTCAGTCAGGGAGATGGATTTGAGATTGAGCTCCCATCCTCTTGGCTGCAGCACCCGATTAAAGCTTTCTTCCCTGGCAATATTTGTTGTCTCAGTGATTGGCTTTCTGTAAAGGCAAGGAGCAGGACCTAGACCAAACCCGTGGTGTTTTGGTAACAACAGAACAAAGTAGAAATGTACAGGCAATATGGCTTAAATTGTGCCCCAAAAAGACATGTTGGATTTCTCACCCCTAATACCTATGAGTGGGATCTTATTTAGAAATAGGCTCTTTACCGATGTAAACAAATTAAAATGAGGTCATACTAGAATAGAGTGGGCCCTGAATCCCATATGACTGGTGTCCTTATAGGAGGAAAACAGACAAAGAGACATAGACACATGAAGGGAGATGGCCATGTGAACACAGAGGCAGACATGAGAGTGTCGCTGCCACAAAACTAAGGGACGCCTGGCACCCAGAAGCTGCAGAGGCAAGGAAGGATGCTGCCCAGAGGCTTAGGAGGGAGTGTGGCCCTGCCCACACCTTAATTTGGGATTGTGGCCTTTAGACAGTAAATTTCTGTTGTTTTCAACCTCCCAGTTTGTGGGGCTTTTTTATGGCAGCCTAGGAAACTAATACAAAGGTTAAAATATAGAAAAAAGGTTAAAATATAGGGAAAACTGCCTTCAAGCAGTTGCAACCTGGAGGAGAGGCGTACTGTACACAGAAAAAACTAACATTACAACAAGGCAGAATTAAAGAAATGCTGAATATTGATAACAAGCAACAGGAGAAACAAAGCAGTGTGAGTACACAGAACTCAAGTTCTCCTAATGGGATCCCAGAAAGCCCATGGAGGAGGCAGCATGTGCACTGTGCTGAGTGCTGAGCAGGATTTCAAGAGAGCAAAGGCAGAGATGCTGGACAGGGCAGCACATGAGGACGAGTGGGCATGGACACTCTGAGCAGGGCTAGTTCCTAGGCTGGTTGGAGCATAGCAGAGGGAACTGAAAGGCAGACACTGGCCAAGAAAGTCCTTGTGCAGGGCTTCATGTGAGCCTCACAAGCCACCCTAGGCCATACTGTCATCAAGCCCCAGACCTCTCCATGCCCATTTGGTTTCCTTCCAGCTCATATAGTTTCCTAAGTATTGTGGCTAATAGTTCCCTGACTTGAATTCCTAGTTTCTGTTAACAGTTTTCTAACTTTCAGGAAAAACAAGCCAATTTCTAAGGAAAGTGGCTGTGCTTCAGTCAGTAGTCGTCCAAGGTAGACATCCAGGACAGTATGACACAACAGGTTTGGAGCGCAGGTGCACAACCCTGAGGTTATATAGCCATTTAATGTAACCTGTTTGGGTGAGTTCGTACCTGGCTTTGAGCCACTATTACCTGTGAGCAATATAACTGCACTGCTGACTCTGTAGGAGAGAGAATAAAGCCATGTCCCAACTGCCTACAGTCCCTCAAGTCCTTCAGCTACCTGCCACCCGTCCACCAACTCCCCTCGGACCCCAGCTTGGGTTAGAACCTGACACAATTAAAAACACAGTATTTACAGCAACGTACTTCATATTCCTCTGCGAACCCACAGTTGGAGTCGGCTTGCTGCTTCTTGAAGTAGGCCTCAAAATTCTCCACTCGGATTAACTTAGATCTAAGAAAACAAAACTTATCAGGATTTTTTACATTCAATGAAGTCCATATTCAATAGATAAGTACAAGTTATTAAAAAAAAATAAAGAGATTACTCACTTTTTAGGTCTTCATGATAGAAAGGGAAAGAAAAAAATAAGCAATTAGAAAGACTCATTCATACTCTAGAGATGACAGTAAACAATCTTCCCAAAACAACAAAACCCAGGGTATAATTTGGCAAGAGGGGATCAGAGTACTAGTATTCACAAAACACTAAAATATGAATCAGGAAATCTGATTTCTGGACCCTACTTTGTAAATAATTGGTTTTGTGACTTTAAGTAAGTGCTTCTCTCCCCTGGATCCTGATAACCTATATGACTTTTTTAAATCAAAAAATATGTATTTATTGGTAGAAGAGTAGAACATGTCAAGGAAGCTAGCTTCAGGAGACTAATAAAACATAGATTCCTTGCAGAAAACAGAGTTAGCAAAAACTTCCAGATGATCATGGTCAAAATGTGCCAATCAGGAAAAATGACAGCAAGTTCCATCAAAAATTATTTAGAGATAGTCACTGAACAGATTGGAGGATTTAAAATAAAGCTCATAATTTGAGAGACTTACTTAATTTGAGAAAAGGACACTTCATTATTCTTTGCTTCTTTCCTGTTTTAAGAGAAAAGAGACCCATTAGACAAAAAAGGATTCCTTCCTGTGCTTTTTCCCTTGCGTATCTGGAGTTGATGTCACCTATGAAATAAAGGTGTTACACCTTTTCCTCGGGCATTAGTTCACAGATGACACCAAATCCTGCCCCCTAATACTAAACTTAATGACCCAAGCTGCAAATGCTAATTATAAATTTGTGAAGTTATTTTCTTTTGTACTATCTACAAGAATGAAAAAAATCATATCCAAGTCACTTTTAAGAATTTCCTTGCAAATATATAGCAGTGACATTACTTTAATGTAAAGCAAGACTTGTTATTTCATACTTTGCTTTTGAGAAAGCTCTTCTGATAAATGAATGCAATAAATCAAAAAACATATCAGATCCAGAACTGGCAAGTTGGTGAGGCATCTGCACACTCCTGCACTATTGACTCAACTCTGCGTTGGTGTCTAAGAACAACTTTCTGGAAGGCAATGTGGCAGTATGTATCAAAACTGAAAGCATGCATACCCACTGACCCAGCACTTGCCTAGCTTGGAATTTAGCCTAAGGAAATAATCGTGAATGTGCCCAAAGATTCAGGCACAAGGATAAGTAACTGTGGCCAAGAAAAATTTTAAAAAGTGGAAACACCTAGGAAATTGGCTAAATAGATCATGGTACTTCCATATAGTTGAATACTCTGTAGCCACTTAAAATGATGATGAAATGGGCCAGGCATGGTAGCTCATGCCTGTAATCCCAGCACTTTAGGAGGCCGATGTGGGTGGATCACCTGAGGTCAGGAGTTTGAGACCAATGTGGCCAACATGGCAAAACTCCGTCTCTACTAAAAATATAAAAAAAATAGCCAGGCATGGTGGCGGGTGCCTGTAATCCTAGCTACTTGGGAGGCTGAGGCAGGAGAATCGCTTGAACCTAGGAGGGAGAGGTTGTAGTGAGCCAAGACCGTGCCATTGAACTCCAGCCTGGGCAACAAGAACGAAACTCTGTCTCAAAAAAAAAGAAATGATGATGAAATGAAGCTGCCAACAATGTCTAAACTGAATAAAGCAGGCTAGATACTAACATGTAACATGATTCCATGTGTGGGCACACATTTGTGTGTGAGTTTGGTCACATCAAAATGTTAAGAGTAGTTTTGTGTGGGTTCTGCGATTGCGGATTTCCTATTTATTTGTGCTCTTCTTTTCCGTATTTTTTGCCATAAGCATGTATTACTCTTATTTTTAACAAGAAACAATAAAACTGTTTTACCCAGCCACAGACTGATCCATCTCCTCCCCCAAAATCAGAACCTAATCTGGCAGGGCGCGGTGGCTCATGCCTGTATTCCCAACACTTCGGGAGGCTGAGGCGGGCGGACCCCTTGAGGTAAGGAGTTCGAGACCAGCCTGGCCAATATGGTGAAATTCCATCTCTACTAAAACCACAAAAATTAGCCAGGTGTGGTGGCAGTGCCTGTAATCCCAGCTACTCAACAGGCTGAGGCAGGAGAATCACTTGAACCCTGGAGGCAGAGGTTGCAGTGAACCGAGATCATGACACTGACTCCAGCCTGGGGGACAGAGCCAGACTTCACCTCGAGGAAAAAAAAAAAAAAAAACAGAACCTAATCTAAAAGTTGGAGCATGTGCCCCCAACAGGGTGGGGTGGCAGCACAAGGAACCGGCCTGGGCCGCATGAGGACCCCTGGGGCAGGACGGAGATTCCCTGGTTGGCAGCACCTTACAGCAAAGAAATCCCAACTAACACACACAGGCTTCACACACTGCACAGACAAGAGGGCGTGCCATGAAGTACAAGGACCAGGTTCAAGTTCTATTTCCACACCTCCCGACTCAGCTTCTGCATCCGTGGAAGGGACTTACTGGACCTGCCTCACAGAGCCTCGTGCATGAGATAATTCATGGAAAGCACAGATGCAGGCACACAGTGAGCACTCAAAACAGGGCTGCTACTTTTACCATTTGATGACCTCACAGGGTAGTTGTACAGATAAAATAATAATAATAGCATCCAAGGTACAAGACACTGAGAAGTGCCTTATTCAATCCTCCTTTGCTTCACAACTTAGGCACAATGATTATCCTCCTATCATAGACGAGGACATTAAGGCTAAGCTTCCTAAACAGCTGGTCAAAGACAGAGCTGGTGTTCAAACTTAGCTACCTCTAAAATGAAATCTCTTAACATGATAATACTATGAAACTGACTTGTAAACAAGAACATATCGTTTCAAAGTAGCATCCCACACTGCGGCATCTATCAGTGGCCTGATGTGACAGCTGGGAGCACATTAACCTCACCCAACTGGGGGCACAGAGGAAACACGGTTGGCCAAATGCAAAAGACTGTGGGTGAAGGGAACATGGCACTCATGATATCATTCCTTCCAATTCTGTGAATGTTTGAAATGTTCCTCAATAGAAAGCTTCCTTAAATACCAGAGTAGTATTATTAGCATCAGCAGTATCACCTCTTCTTTCTCCAGAAGATGAAGCCTCCCACAGTCACAATAACCAGGGCACCAAAGATACAGCCAAAAACTGCTCCACAGATGACACCTGAGAAAAGTCAAAACGGGAGACGCTTGAAGAGGTGATCGTGCAGACCACATGACATGCTAACAACCAGCCAGGGACCCTAACACCAGAGGGTTCAGGTATGTGTGGCATACACACGCATGCATGCGCGCGCGCGCGCACACACACACACACACGTGCACACACACAAGAGTTAAATAGCTTGGACCTAAAATTAGTCCATGCACACGGAAGCCAGGTTCCTATTCCCAACCCACTACCACCTGGATGGTCTTGAGAAAGCTACTGCTCCTTGCCAGGTCTCAGTCTCCTCAACTGCAAATTTAGGGAACTAGGCTGGATTTTCAGGGATTTTTCCTGCCACCTCTGACGTGTTGAGACTAGCACCCACATATGAGCAGAGGTACCTACAGCAGCATCCATGCTCAGGGGACAGGAAACCCATTGGTTTACTGGAGAAGGATGTGGGGACTCCCTAAACTTTGCTTCTGGGACAGGCATTCTTTCCTGCACCCAACAACCACCAACTAGGAAAAAAAGCAGACACACTAACAAGCCAGTCAGTCCATTCACCTCTGGCTTGAAGGTAGGGGATGAATCCCTCTTGGATCCCTGAAGCTCCTGTATCACTTAGGTCTATGTGATAAAGGGTAGAAGCACTTGACAAGGGTCCAAGACCAGAATTTCAGGCCTGCCTCTAAAGCCACCGTGTAACCCTGGGCAAGTTACTTCCCCTCTCTGGGCCTTAAGAGTCTCATTTCCAAAAAGCGGGCAGAGCACAGTGGCTCACGCCTGTAATCCCAGAACTTTGGCAGAAGGTGGAAGGAAGCTTGAGGCCAGGGGTTCGAGACCAGCCTGGGCAACATAGCAAGACCCCATCTCTACAAAAACTTAGCCAGGCACAGTGGTGAGCACCTGTGGTCCCATCTGGAAGGCTGAGACAGGAGGATCCCTTAAGCACAGGAATTCAAAGTTACAGTGAGCTATGATCATGCCACTGTACTCCTGGGCAACAGAGCAACACTCTGTCTCAAGAATAAAATAGATAGGCTGGACATGGTGGCTCACGCCTATAATCCTAGCACTTTGGGAAGCCAAGGTGGGCAGATCACCTGAGGTCAGGAGTTCAAGACGAGCCTGGCCAACATAGCTAAACCCCGTCTCTACTAAAAATACCAAAATTAGCTGGGCGTGGTAGCAGGCACCTGTAATCCCAGCTACTCAGGAGGCTGAGGCAGGAGAATTGCTTGAACCCAGGAGGCAGAGGTTGCAGTGAGCAGAGATCGCGCCACTGCACTCCAGCCTGGGTGACAGAGGGAGACTCTGTCTCAAAAAAAAAAAAAAAAATCATAAAATAAAATAAACAAATCAATAAATAGAATTAAAACTATGAAGTAAAATAAACAGGATTGAAGAAGACAATTTATGTGGCTTCCTCTGATTCTAATATTTAAGGATTCGATGCATTGTGTCAAACTGTGCACCTGGCACATGAGGACTCAATCATCTTTGCAGGTTGGAAGAACAACTGGCACTTAGAGAAGGGAGAGTGTCGGGTCCAGGCTGTGGGACCTCAGAGGAGGAAGCCCACTGAGCCCGGTGACCCAGTGACATCTCAACCTCTGGGAGGGGGGAGTTGGGCACACCAATCCTCCTGAAGGTCTGAGGGAGGCATGCACACAGCTGGCCTTCTATGGACACGTGGAGCAAAATGCCACTGAACCGGTGCCACGACTGTTGTCTTCTCCCTACCTGGATCCTGGGGCAAGGAAACAGCATCTGAGTAGCGACTGAAGGACACGTAGCTCTCAGCCCCATCGATGAGCCCGTGGTTTTGAGGGTGGAAGGTAATGTTGGTGAAGCCAGCCACACAAGCCCTGTGGGATGACAAAGAGCAAAAAGAGGTCCCTGAGACGTGTCTGACCGCAGGCACGGAGAGCTTTACGCTCATGAGGCTCAGCCCCCAGAGAGCAAGAACCAGAAGACATTACCGGTAGGAGCCCAGAGGTTCCAGCTTCCCATTGTAATAGCCAAGCGTGGTTGACTCATTCCCAACATCAATTTCATATTTCAAAACTTCAGACAAGCTCTGAGAACGTCCCTTTTCTTCTGTTCTGATCAGGTATGTCACGTAAGTATCTGAGGCTCCCTTTTTGAAATCCTCATACGTGTATTTCAGGACATCTGCAGAAGGGTGACCAGCTAAGAAAGGTACACAGAAGGAGAATCATAAGAAAGTGACGGCAGAGAGACGACTTCTCCTGCATGTCTACATGGTGGGGATGCTGGGTGACAGTGATACCAGCAACCACCTCTCAAGTATCTCTCTGTGCCAGGGTTGACTCACGTTGAATTCTAAGAGCTCCACCTACAGTAACTCACTTCATCCCCATGAATCCCATCACATAAGCTTATTGTCTCCATTTTACAGACAAGAAAACGAAGGTACAAAAGGCTAACAGGACCAGGCACAAGGTCACATGGCCTAGGACGTAGAGGTGGGTTCCCAATCCAGGGCGTCGGGCTCAGAGCCCAAGGTTTCATCCAATCACAGACCAGCACTGGTCCGTCTGGCTGCCATGCAACATGGCCTTCCTCGATGGACTTGTTGACAAGCATCACAGCAGAATGACTAAGAGCTGGAAACAGACCCAAAATGAAAAGATAGAGAGAGATTTCCACCTCACTTTTTGAAATTTTGCCACAGGTTATTGCACTAGCAAATTTCTATCCTCCCAGATCCCCAACCCCCTGACAGTGTGTTTGGTCTCTATCCTCCTCGAGGAGATGAGGATAGCACCACAGTGGGAGAGAGTGGGCAGAGGAAACACTGCATTATTCATGCATAAAGCATCCCCCAGACCAGGCACAGAGGCTTATGCTTGTAGTCTAGTCCTAGCACTTTGGAAGGCCAAGGTGGGAGGATTACTTGAGTTCAGGAGTTCAAGACCAGCCTGGGCAACATGGTGAGAACTTGTCTCTAAAAGAAAGAAAGAGGAGACGGCAAGAGAGGCAGAAGGGGAGGAGGAGAGGTGGAGGGGGAAGAGGAGGAAGGAACCCTCACAACAAAACTTGGGGGGGGGGAGGAAACAGGAGAAAGGGGAGGAGGAGGGGGAGGAGGAGAGGGGAGGAGGGGAAGGAGAAGGAAGATGAGGAGGAGGACGAGGAGCAGGACGAGGAGGAGGAGGAGGGAACCCCTACAACAAAACTTGCGGGGAGGGGGAGAAGGAAACAGGAGAAGGGGGAGGCGGAGGGGGAGGAGGAAGGGGAAGGAGGGGAAGGAGAAGGAGGAGGAGGGGGGAGGAGGGGAAGGAGAAGGAGGATGAGGAGGAGGAGGAGGAGGAGGAGGAGGGAAGCCCCACAAAAAAACTTGGGCTTTTAAATCTAGGCCTGGGCCAGGCGCAGTGGCTCACACCTGTAATCCCAGCACTTTGGGAGGCCGAGGCAGGTGGATCACGAGGTCAGGAGATCGAGACCATCCTGGCTAACACAGTGAAACCCTGTCTCTATTTAAAAAAATACAAAAAAATTAGCCAGGCGTGGCAGCGGACGCCTATAGTCCCAGCTACTCAGGAGGCTGAGGCAGGAGAATGGCACGAACCTGGGAGGTGGAGCTTGCAGTGAGCCGAGATCGCGCCACTGCACTCCAGCCTGGGCGACAGAGCAAGACTCCGTCGCAAAAAAAAAAAAAAAAAAAAGAAAAAATCTAGGCCTTATGCAAGCACTCAAACACAGCTACCAAAGAGACTCTCGAATTATTCCTTTCCTACCACAAAAAAATGTAACAGAGCCCTTTAAGGAAAAGCAGCCTTTAATCCACCTCTTCTCTCAGCTAAGGAGATACTCTGCAAATTCCCACTAGCAAATGCAAATCTTTTTCTATTTTCTTTTAAAGGAAATTCATCCGCTGAGGATGGCATGTGTGTACGTGTGTGTTGTGAGTGAGAACAAGAGACAGAGTTGGTTAAAACTAGTATTCTACCACCTAAAAGGTCTTGTGATGTAAAAGAGAAGAAAAACCTAGATCACAGATCAGCAAGTTATGGGCCACAAACCAAATCCAGCCACCTGCCATGGTAAATAACATCTAGTGGGAATGGCCCCACTCATTCCTTCTGTATCTTCTGTGACTGCTTGCACACTACAATGGCAGGGTCGAATGCTTGCAACAGAGTCTATACCACCGGCGAAGCTTAAAATACTTGCATTCTGGCCCTTTCCAGAAAGCTTGTCAACCATCAGGCAAATACCTCACCCTCCTTCTCTGTCTGAGTACACAGCATGGGCTGCGGTGAGAAGACAGGAGTGTGTCTGCATCACTCATGTGCCTCCGTGGGCACAGAGAAAGCTCTGGTCACTGCATCACTCACATGCTGTTTAACCCACGGAGGCCTCTCCTTACCTTCCCCAGTGGTGAGAATGACAGCATAGGCTTTGATGGGTCCGTGGCTGGCTTCAAATCCACTGAACTTGACCTTTACTGAATTGTGACTGACAGATGTAATATTAGGGGATCCATCTGGAGGAGGGGGATCTAAAACAAAACAAAACACAATCACCCAATATTGAAAACCAAAGTAACACATTAGGTAGAGAACATGCTTCAGCGACCTCCTCAAGATCTTACTCTGGAAGCTACATGCTGGGCTCTGTAAAGCAGCAAATCCAGAAGCAAAAGGCATGGAAGGAAACTGGTGAGGAGCAGAGACAGCAGATCCTGGGAAACCTGCCCAGCTCACAATGACCCCTTCAGGGCATCCAGCCAAATCCCCAGGGCAGGCACCCAGCAGCCTTGTTTGGTTTTGCTATTGTTGTTTTGAACTGTGCATGCTTTTATTTTATTTTTTAACAGATTGATTGAAATATAATTAAAATACAACCAAGGAGATGAAAGACTTGTACAGTGAAAACCACAAAACATTGATAAAATAAAGAAGGCATAAATACATACAAAGACATCCCATGCTCATGGATTGGAAGACCTGATATTGTTGGAAGACTTGACACTACTCAAAACGATCTATAAATTCAATGCTACCCCATCAAAATCCCAATGGCAATTTTTACAGAATATTAAAAAAAAAAAAAATCCTAAAGTTCATATGGAACAATGAAAGACCAGGAACAGCCAAAGTAGTGTTGAAAAAGAATAAAGCCGGAAGTCTCCCACTTCCTGATTTCAAGATCTATTTATTCAAAGCTGCAGTAATTATAACAGTATATTACAGGCATAAAGACAGACATCAACCCACAGAACAGAATACTGAGCCCAGAATTAAACTCACATATACAGTCAACTTATCTTCAACAAGGGTGCCAAGAAGACACAATGGGGAAAAGACAGCCTCTTCAACAAATGGTGCTGGGAAAACTGAATATCCATGAGCAAAATAATAACACTAGACCCCTATCTTACACCAGACACAAAAATAAACTCCGAATAGGTTCAAGACTTAAACATCAGACCTAAAGCTGTACACTGTTAAATTTGTTTAAAACAAAACACACACACACACACACACACACACACACACACACACACATCGGGGAAGAGCTTCTTGACACAGTATTTACAACAGTTGCTTGGATACCACACAGAAAGCACAGCAACAAAAGCAAAAATAGACAAGCAAGATTAAATCAAACTGAAAAGGTTCTGCCCAGTAAAAGAAACCATCATTAGAGTAAGAAGTTAGTATCCTTGCATGGGGAAGCTAACCTGCCCTTGTCCTCTCCCCCAGTCCCTTCTGACTCGAGATGAGCCGGGTTCATTATCCTGAGACCTGGGGTGGAAGGAGAGTGAGAAAGAGACTGTGGTGGAACTCTAAGGTGTGGCCTTGGGAGCTGCACGCTGACACCACATGGACTTGGCCTGGCCCCAGGATCAGCCGGTTGGCTGAGAGCAAAGACGGAGCAGATGTCCAAGAAGAAGAATCAAAGATGAGGTGGGAGAGAACATACTTTCTACTGAGACCTGGCCATGGCACTGCCCCGTGTTCTTCATAAACAGTCCCCACATTTTTCCCAGAGTTGGTCTAAAATACCACCTAGAGAAACCCAACAGATCCTCTTCCCAGAAACCAGAAAAGCCCCCACAGGACCCTCCATGGATAACCTCCACGATTCTGCACCCTCCCTTTCCAAGCCAGGGTGTGGAGCCACTCTCTGAACTAACACAAAAGAAAGAACATGCTGAATTAAAAATGATCCACTCCACACACTCTCTCTTTACCTAAATTCATCTCACATATACAGTTTGGATTTTTTTATATTTTTTAAAAATAAATGAGATGGGATCTTGCTATGTTGCCCAGGCTGGTTTCAAATTCCTGGGCTCAAGCAATCCTTCCACCTCAGCCTCCCAAAGTGCTGGGATTACAGGCATAAGCCACCACACCCAGCCTGTTCTCATTATTATATATATTCAAGATTCAAGGAGACGGAAATCTGAACTCCAAAACAACCACAACATAATTGTCTAAACCTGCGGCTGATACAGCAGCCCCTAGCCACACGCGGCTGCCAAGCCCCTGAGAGGTGACCAGTTTGCATTCAGATGTGCTACAAGCATACAATACAGACGAGATATCAAAGACTTAGTACAAAAGAAAATGTAAAATAATTCATTAATATAGAAATTACATGTTGAAATACTTTTAATATACTAACTTAAATGTTATTAATATTAATTTCAGCTATTCCTTTTTACCTTTTTTTCAATGTGGCTTCTGGAAAACTTTAAATTATACCTGAGGCTCACATTGCCCATCTAGTGGATGGTCCTGTTCTAAACTACAAGCTTCAGCAACCTCGCAAGTACCTGGCAGCAGTGCCTGCTGGGAGGTGCCGTTCCCATGTCTAATGGTCAACTGCTAGCACAGGCTCCTGCATTTCCCGTCAGCTCTATGCCCTGTAGCTGGCCAGAGAAGGTCCATCCCCAGGTCCTTGCTCTAAAACTGGCAGCAGCATGCTAGCTCACCCACCACCAGACCTGGAAATCCTCTCCTTCTCAATGCTCTTCTCAGTCCAGTGCTCCAGGGGCCCTGTTGTCCATACTTCCCATAGAGTCCCTCACCACAGCACACAGGAAGCCACCAACAGATGTGGGCTAACGGACGACCTGGCACAGTGGCTCAGGTGGGTGATCCCAACACTTTGGGAGGCTAAGGCAGGTGGATCACTTGAGGTCAGGAGTTCGAGACCAGCCCCGCCAATATGGTGCAACCCTATCTCTAATAAAAATACAAAAATCAGCCAGGCGTGGTGACGTGTGTCTGTAGTCCCAGCTACTCGGGAGACTGAGGCACCAAAATCGTGTGAACCCAGGAAGCAGAGCTTGCAGTGAGCTGAGATCGCGTCACTGCCCTCCAGCCTGGGCGACAAGAGCAAGACTCCATCTCGAAAAAATATAAAAGAAAACGTGGCAATGAGTTACGCTGTAAAGAAAAGGAGTTTTTAGAATGTAAAAAAGGAGCCCCTCTTACTCTGCTTTTTTTTCTTTCTATAGAATTTCTATAGAATGAGAAACAAGTCTATGCCAGTAAAAGCAAATATTTCAGGGGAAATAAAAACACAAGAACAGGTTTCTAGTCCACACGTGCAGACCCACTGGGTCAGCCACTCCAGGAGTGATCACCGTGCCGTCTGACCAGCCCCTGCCTTGGAGCCCACCTGTGATGCCAGTGGTGCAGGTGCTCTGCGTGGGGGCTGCCATCTTTCCACAGGACACGGTGGTGATGCTGATGTTGTACGAGGTAGAAAAATTCAAATACGTGACTTCCGTTCTATACTCAGTGCCATTCTCAGAGGAGCAGCTCTCCAGGTGGGTTGCATTGTCCCAGGCTCCACTGCTGACCTCCAGCTCGAAGCCTGCATTGGCACCAGGAGGGCAGGCCCATTTGAGAACCAGGGCTGGCTCTTTGGGGACCACTTCACAGTCGAAGGAGGCCACGGACGCGGGATCTGCAAAACAAGCACAGCACAACATGAGATTCCAGGACTTTTGCCTTTGCAAACACAGAAATAAGGAGTAGCAGAATCCTGGTGATGAGGAGGTGGGTGGGTGATGTGGTGGAAGAGGCAGGGGCTGACCCTGAATTGGGCAACACCAAACTGTGTGACCTTGGGTCAGTTACCAACTGCTCTGAGCCTCAGCTGCAGGACCCTTTGAAGAGTAAATTGAACAATGATGTCCGGCACCAAGAAAGATGCCTGGAAGAGACCAGGGCTCCATGAGAGGCAGCTACATCGTCCTGTGAGAGGTAGTGACCTCCTTGCTTGCACCATCTCATCTTGAGGACCCACCTCCTTTTTTTTTTTTTTTTTTTTTTTTTTTGAGATGGAGTCTCGCTCTGTTGCCCAGGCTGGAGTGAAATGGCATGATCTCAGCTCACCTCAACCTCTGCCTCCCGGGTTCAAATGACTCCCCTGTCTCAGCCTCCCAAGTCGCTGGGACTACAGGTGCATGCCACCACACCCAGCTGATTTTTGTATTTTTAGTAGACACAGGGTTTCACCATGTTAGCCAGGATGTTCTCAATCTTTTGACCTCATGGTCCACCCACCTTGGCCTCCCAAAGTGCTGGGATTATAGGCGTGAGCCACCAGGCCCAGCCAAGGCCCTCTTGATGGTCCTTCTGAGACAGGTAAGGCCCATACTGTCCCATCTGCAGATAAATCCACAGAGGCTCGGAAAGGTTAAGTAATTGGCTGATGATGACATGGCAGGTGGTGAAGCCAAAACTAGATCCCAGGTTTTCTAAGAGTAAGTTCAAGACACTCTCTATTCACATAACATACTGCATCATCAATGACAAATGGTATCAGCTTCCTCATCTTCAAAATAGAGTGTTATTTGTCTCTGAGGGCCAACAGATTTTTACTGAGGACTAACATCAAACTAATCTAAATGGAAAACTCCATATTAAAACTGGAAGACAGTATTATCATTAATTGAACATCACAGAATTTTAGAGCAGGAGAAGCTCTACCAAGGCACCTAGTGCAACTCCCACATTCACCACCCAAGGCCTGGAAAGGTAATCTGAACACTGCACCTACTTTCACAGTTCCTGTTCCACCCATACTCAGTCATAAATGCTCGGATACACTTTTTCTCTGGCTATAGGCTACAAATAACTATAGCTAAGACAAATATCAGCAATGAAAGGCACCCAAATATCAAAGATGGGTGTCTGGACCAGGTGGGATGGAACAGAGGTGACCCAAAGCTGCAGGGATTTCTGTGGCCACCCCACTGACCACTGAAAGGCCAGAGGCCATCACGGGTGGAGCTCCTACATTACCAGGCAGGCTGATCCCATGAGACCCCCACTTCCAAATCAGCCTGAACATATGAATGGCCTGGGCTAAAAAGGGAAGAGGTAGGAGCAAGGTGAGCATAAAATGAGTAGTGCACAGGTGCTGAGTGATAAAGGTGCTACAGTCAGCACTGTGAACAGAAGTGCCCACCACTGTCTGCAAAGCCTTCCCTGGACTGCCCTGAAAGCATCCTCAGTTACACACAGGGCTCTTCTCTTTATCACACATTTTGAGTTGTGAGATAGGTGAGGATCCAGAAGGACACAAAGGCTGGGCATCATGTCAACAATAACCCTTCCATCTTCTCCAGCGCAAAAGACAAACCAATGCCAGACATCATCCACGTCCTGGCCCAGCCCCACCCAAGCCTCACCCCCCTCCTACACCCTCCTGTTCCTGTGGGTCCACTCCTCCCACCCTTGCCTCCCGCTCTTCCTCCAGCCTCCAGGACACGGTGGTGATGCTGCACAGGCCCCTGTGCACAAGCCTCTGCCTGTAATGCTCTCGTGCCCTGATATCCAAATAGCTGTATCCTTCCCTTTATTCAGATCTTTGCTCAAAAGTCACCTTCTCACTGAGGCCTTTCCTGAGCATCCTAGATAAACATTCCACTTCCTCCTTCCAAAATAAAAGTCCCAAGAAGGCAAGGACTTGACTGGCACATGGTATATGCTCAATAAATATTTACTGAATGCAGAAATGATGAGGGCATCGAGACAGCACCAATAAGCTAACAGGATGCCTCAGAAAGCTCGATCACTGCACATCACACAAAACCAAACAAACTACAGACTGTGGAGGACTGACCTGCAAGGTCAGCACCACTCAGGGAGGAGTCCAGGAGGCAGCTGGGGCTACACTCACCTGTACAAAATGACTTCCAGCCAGGTTCCAGTGACTTGATTCTGTCCCCTACTTGTGTGAAGATCTCCACTGTGTATGATGAGCCAGGTATTAATTCAGTGACAGTAGCGTTAGTAATTCCAGTGCCCGTGACTACTTGTGTTGCGTTGCTGGAATTTCCAACCTTCTCAATAAGAAGGCAGTAGGAGTATGTGGGAGAGGCGCCATCAAAGTTCTGCCAACTCAAAGTTGCTGCTGTGGTGCTGGTACTTACATCAATGTTGGACACATTGCTGGGCCCTTGATTTTAAAAAAAGGCAATTCATGTAAAAGCACAGATTAACCAGAATTCCAGGACTATTTACCATATCCAAAAATAGGCTGGCTCATTTTAGAAAGAATGAACAAAGCTAGTCTTTGCTGGCTCAAAGGACGGAAAACTTCCCCAAAACACATCCAGAAAATAATTATACAGATTAAATCTCAAAAGAAGTTTAATTTAGGCTTCTTTTAATACTTCGAGTTTATTTCAAATATATTTTTAAGATATAATTTCTAATCTGTTTTTCAAATCTAATAGATGAAGGAGAAAAATATACTAAAAACATATTACAAACATCTTTACCATGTATTCGATTCAAATATTTGCAAAACACCTCCCTCACTGTCGCAGGTAGAGCTCCTCATCTGGGCAGTATCTTCCAGTACCAACATGACAAGGGGACCCTTCTCTGCTCTGTATTCTCAAGGAATGACTAGAACAGTTTCAGTCTCCACTCCCAAGGAATCACTTCTTGCTTCTAATGACAATTCTAGGTTCACACAGCTTGAAGAACAGTGCCCCATGGGGACAGCAGAACCGCTGCTGAGACCAACGTTTTCAACTTCAGCAGTTTCAGGGTCAACCTGGATCCCAGAAGCACACTGGCCATCATTTAACCAGTGCCTCCTCCAAGAGACGGTTAGAGAGGCTGTTCCTTAGAAGGGCATCCTAAGAGACTTACGTGTGTACTGTGTAGTGGAGCTGGGGTCTCCCGGGATGTGGTCCACTTCCGGAGAGATGGTAATGTTATATAAGGTGCCCGGGATCAGGCCCTGGAGAGTGACCACGTTGTCAGATGTGTTTGTGTGGTTAGAGCCATGCTTGGACTCTATGACTAAATGGTAGACATACTCGGAAGCATTGCCTGGGCTCTTCCACTCCAGCCGCATCTCTGTGGTGGTGACGTAGACCACGTGGATGTCAAACACTGCACTGGGAGCTGCTCAGAAGAAAGGAAGAAGGAAACCCATTACTGACTATCATGAGGCCCAGCTTCCTCTCCAAGTGCTGTCGAGAGAACCTGCTCTTCTGCCATCACACTTTCAAATGAGTTCATAAAAGGCACACTCCAAAATCGAGCTGAGAAATGCACACACTCGGTGCTCTCAAGAATTTTAGCTCTTCTACGACGCAGATGAACTTCCCAGTTTATCTTACCAGTTCTCTAGTTTTTTGTTCTTGTCATAAAAATGAGCCCTTAGGCTGGGTGCAGTGGCTTCTGCCTGTAATCCCAACATTTTGGGAGGCTGAGATGGGTGGATTACTTGAGGTCAGGGGTTCGAGACCAGCTTGGCCAACATGCTGAAAACCCATCTCTACTGAAAATACAAATATTAGCTGGGTGTGGTGGCACACACCTATAATCCCAGCTACTCGGGAGGCTGGGGCACCAGAACCACTTGAACCCAGAAGGTAGAGGTTGCAGTGAGCCAAGATCACAGTACTGCTGCACTCCAGCCTGGGCGACAGAATGAGACTCTGTCGCAAAAAAAAAAAAAAAGAAGAAGAAGGCCAGGCACCGCAGCTCATGCCTGTAATCCCGGCACTTTGGGAGGCCAAGGCGGGCGGATCACATGAAGTTAGGAGTCTGAGACCATCCTGACCAACATGGAGAAACCTCATCTCTACTAAAAAAAAGTACAAAATTAGCCGGCTGTGGTGGCGTGTGCCTGTAGTCCCAGCCACTGAGGCAGGAGAATGAATCGCTTGAACCGGAAGGCGGAGGTTGCATTGAGCTGAGATCGCGCCATCGCACTCCAGCCTGGGCAACAACAGCGTAACTCTGTCTCAAAAAAAAAAAAAAAAAAAAAAAGCCCTTCAAGGGGTCATCTGAAGTGGAAATCACATTCAGTTTCTTGATATGGGTGATGGTAACGAGGTGTGTTCAGTTTGTAAAAGTTCATGAAGCTATGCGCTGAGGATACGTCCCTTTTCGGTATGTATATTACATCTCAATAGAGAGGTTTTTTTGTTTTGTTTTGTTTTGTTTTTTTAAATCACTCATTTAGAAGGAAACATCTCCCCGTGACACTGCCTGACATACTGAAGAGGAGAACTGAAATGGAGAGCTGACCTTTACTACGTTGCAGCATTTGAGGACGGATGAGGAAGGGAAGAAAATGGGCACACCCTGCACCCTCAGGGCAGAGTCAGAAGCGGAGTCCCCCACAGGAGCCCATCCGCCAATCATCTCCCGGCTGCACACTCAGCCACTTGCACCAGGGATGCCCGGAAGTCGAGGCCCGGAAGTAACCACGGAGGCAGGGCCTGTTTTCCAGGGCAGCTTTCAACCCCGTCTCTCTTTACCTGGCAACAAACATCGCCTCCAGGGAGAGGAAATGGGCAGGTAGGGGACAAAAAAGGGAAATGCTTTCACTGCAAACACCTTGTCCTAAAAAATAAAAGTGCCATGTTTACGTACAATCTACTCCAAAATTAATTTTTTTTTTAAATCTTAAGTGTGTTCTCCTTAAAGAGAAGCCACTGGGAGAAGCCTTTGTTTCCTACTGGCAGATTCCTGGTGTCAAAGGAATTCCACAGACAAAAGACCATGAAAGGCAGCCTTTGCCTATAAACATAAAAAACTAGAAACAACCTAAATATTCAATAACATGGGGAGGGCTGTGGGCACTGTGATCTGGCTGCATGATGAAATATTCTGCAGCCACTAAAAACATGAAGACCATGATAACTACAGGGGAAAGTTGTGGTATAGACTGAGTAAAAAAAAAAAAAAATTCAAATACAAAATAAAAGTACTTGTATAATAATTACAGTAATACAAGCAAAATGTGGACATAGAGAGAAAAGGAATTTGGTTGGGTTAGAAAAGTAGAGATATTTGTTTCTTTTCCTTTTTATTGTGGTAAGACATACATACCATAATATTCATCATCTTAACCATCGATCAGTGTACAATTCGGTGTCATCAACATTCACAATGTTGTGTAACCATCACCACTACCTGTACCCAAAACACTGTTATCATCCCCAGCATAAACTGTAGCCATGAAATAATAATGCCCATTCCCTCCTCTGTACAGCCCCTGGTAACCTCTATTCTAATTTCTGTAGAATATTAAGTTGCCTAATCTAGGTACTCAGGTAAGTGGAATCATCCAGTATTTGTCCTTCTGTGTCTGACTTATTTCACTTAGCATAATGTCCTCAAGATCCATCCATGTTGTACCATAAATCAGAATTTCTTTCTTTTTTAGGCTGAACTCTGTTGTATGGATGAACCACATTTTGTCTGTCCATTCATTTGCTGATGGGATCTTCGGTCCCCCTTTGGCTACCGTGAACAATGCTACTACTATAAACACTGATGTACAAATAACTGTCCAAGGCCCTGTTTTCAATTCTTTTGGAGACATACACAGGACTGGAATTACTGGATCATATGGTATTCATTTCCTTTTTTCAAAATTGCTTTTAATGCTGTTAAGCTGACTTTTTCCAATAACAATAAAGGTTGTTTAATAATAGAAAGGTAACTCCCAAAGAGTTTAGATCTTATAGCAAGCCTTCTTGACTTTCATTCAATGGGACCACTGAATGAAATGGGTCCTTTGAGACAATGGAATTCCAGGCGGGTGTTAAAATTACCATGTGAAAATTACCCTGCAGAAATACTGATATTAAGAGGAAAGAACATTCATAATAAACTATAGTAAAAGAGATGCCTTCTCCTCACTAATACTAAACTTTACTGCTGTACCACATCAAAGTGTCAATCTACATGGTGGATAAGCACTTGGTCTTAGACACCAGACACAAGTCAGTTTGCCACCTCATCACTCTGGGCCAGTTACTTAAGTTGGCAGAGCCCCCATTTCTTACTCTAGGACAGAAATGATAATAATACCTGCTCCATGAAGTTGTGTTAAAAATGTAAAATATAGTATGAGAACACTCAGCACTTTGCAGACCCCCAACATATTATATTATTGTTACAGTAAGTTCTGAGCAATAGCAAGTAGCACGATATCACACATCCCCATCAGTGGTGATCCTCTTACCATTATCCACATCCTTAAAAGACAGAAGAAACATGTTGATGTTAAGACTTCATGTCAACAGTCTAAAATGCAGACTTGCAAAGAGAATACTGCATTTCATCTGAGGGATGCATTTTAGTAGACCCCTTATTTCGGAAGCAGATCCTCTGAATGACTATTGGTGCTTAACCTAACCAGCACAGTTGAAGAAGCTTCTTCAAGGAGAATCTCAAAAGCCTAACTCATTTCATGTGTGTTTCAAGGAATCTGTCCCATTTCTTTATTCTACCCTCTGTATAAAAGATTTCAACTATCTTGAATCAAAGATCTAGGAAGACTGTATGTTTTTCAACCTTTCAAAAAAAATAATTTCAAATTTTTAAAACAACAATAAAAAGCATTACTCGCTAGGATTTTCCAGAAGTTTCTCCTGTAGGCTAGAAACAATTTAATAATTTATTTAAACTGTTTCTATAAATTTTTTTTTGAGACAGGGTCTCCCAGGCTGGTGCTGGTCTGCAACCGCTGGGTCAAGCAAATCCTCCTGCCACAGCCTCTCAAGTAGCTGGGACTATGGGTGCAGGCCACCATAGCTGACTATAAAATGATTTTATCAATTTCAATTAGCCTTCTAGAACGACAAACTATCATATCACAGTGTTGTGTATGAAAGACTGTCAAGAGTCCACCTGCCCAACACAGCACAGTAGTTAATTTCTAACACATCTTGACCAGAGGTTCTTAAACTTTTTGCTCTCAGGACTTCTTTACCTTCTTAAAGGTTATTAAGGCTCTCAGAGAATTTGTATTTACATAGGTTATATTTATTAAGATTTACTATATCGGGGATTTAAAATGAAATTTTTTAAATGTAAGAATCTACAGCATATATTCCATTAGCCCTCAGAGAGACAAGGTCATCCTATGTCAGATCAAAGTTGGAAAACTCCAAAAGAGAATGAGAATGAAAAAGTCAAATAACATTTTAGTATTGTTACGATAATACTACCTTGGAGACACCTTGAAAGAACCTAGGGATCCCTAGAGAGCCCTGGACCACAATTTGAAAACCACTGATCTAGCCCAGAGGTCAATAAACATTCTCTGTAATGGCCAGAAAATAAATATCTCAGGCTTCACAAGCCACACATTCTCTGTTGCCACTACTCAATTCTAGCACCAAAGTAGCCATAGACAGTACATAAGCAAATGAACATGGCTGTGATCCAATAAAACTTTTTTTACAAAAACAGACAGTGAGCCAAATTTGGCGTAGGGGCCATTCTTATCTGCCAACTCTGTTTCAGATGATGGAATTCCAGGCAGGTGTTCAAATCATCTTGTAGAAATATTATTGTATTAAGAGGAAAGAATATTCATAATTAATTGGCAAGTTGGGGAAAAGGCAGATTACAAAACCACATGTACAGATGGCCTCAATGTTTGTCAAAGAAAAACATATATATTTGTGGGCTGGGCGCGGTGGCGCACATCTGTAATCCCAGCGTTTTGGGAGGCTGAGGTGGGTGGATCACTTGAGATCAGGAGATCAAGACCAGCCTGGCCAATATGGCAAAACCCCGTCTCTACTAAAAGTATAAAAATTAGCCAGGCGTGGTGGCGCACACCTGTAATTCCAGCTACTCAGGAGGGTGAGGCACAAGAATAGCTTTGCTTGAACCTAGGAGGTGGAGGTTGCAGTGAGCCGAGATCACGCCACTGCACTCCAGCCTGGGTGACAGGGTAAGACTGTCTCAAAAAAAAAAAAAAATATATATATATATATGTGTGTGTGTGTGTGTGTATTATATATATGTATTAAATATGTATGTATTAAATATATGTAAGTATACATGTTTAAAAATTATAAAATGTCATACATCAAAAGTGATTATCTCTGATGGTTTCCATGTAAGTTTTTTCTACTTGCCTGTATTTCATAAAATAAGCATTACTGTTATTATGAAAATTGTTAAAGGTTTTTCTTAGATAATTAAAAGAAAAACAGTATTTGGAAACATTATATTTATTAATTATGCTGATTTCCTTTAAGAAACATGACGGTTTAACAGAAAAGCCTATTTGCTTACCAGTTCTATTGCAAACTGTCCGAGACGCCCCTTTGGTCCCATTTGGTCCTTCTGGAACTATTTGAAAGCAATACTTGGTTCCAGGGAACAAGTCACCAATGATAATACTTTGGTTGGTGGTTATTTTTACCCAAGCAACCTCCTGCACACAGGATATGCATATGATATAAATCTGAAAGGATTCTGCATCATGGCTACTCCATGCTAAGCCGATCTCCGTCGTGCTGACCACTGTCACTCGGAAGTCGGAAACTGGACCAGGGGCTATGCAAAGAAAGTAAACAACTAGATTAAAAATATATTTCTCCAGGAGACAGGGATGTCCCACTTCAGAAAATATTTACACTGAGATGAAATGTACACTTAGGACACCTGATCCCTCTCTTTGTCTTCTTTGTATCATCATCTACAACACGAGCCCCTCAGAAACAGCTGTTTCTGGCCATGGAGAGAGCACTTGACCATGAGAGTGCAGAAGCTCCGTGCTCACACTGCACACATTCATTCACAGGAAATGAAAGGAGGCATGAGCTCCTGTGGTCCAGGGCTCAGGCTCTGGAGGAGAACCTTGGCCACACGGGTTGCTTTATCTTGAATGCATTACTAGCCTCCCAGAGCCTCTGTTCAGGGACGGACAGCAGAGACCACTCTTGACCCCCAAAATCCATTTCCCTGTTTTCCCTTCATCATACCCACCCAGATTTTTAGCGCTGTGTGTGCACAGCTGTTCAAACAAAGACCACATTTCCCAGCTTCCCATGCAGCTAGATGTTGCATGTGACTAAGTTTTGGTCAACAGAGTGAGAGCAGAGGTACTGGGTGACTTCTAGGAAGTGTCCTTTAAGGGTGGAGCACAACCTTCTGTCCTTCCTCCTTCTTATAGCTGGAGTGTGGATGCGATGACTGGAGCTCACGCTGCCTGGCTCTAGAACCAACACTACAGCGGTGGCTGCAGCTTCCTGATCCCAGGATCACAGCTCAGAACATACACCCCTGGATCCAGCAACTATAGCAGGGACTTCCTGATTCCTCCCTGTGCTGTCTGTGACCAAGGTGGTGACTCTCCAGGGGGTCATTTCTGCAGCCTTGTCCAGGAGTCATTTCTTGGGGCCAGGCCTAACGCCTGCTCCCCAGCTGTTATGAGCTGACTTGTGCTCCCTCACTCCCAAATGTATATGTTTATGTCCTAACCCTCAAGACCTCAGAATGTGGCTGTCTTTGGAGACAAGAGTCTTTAAAGAGGTAATTAAGTTAATGTAAGGTCATGAAGGTAGGCCCTAATCCAGCAAGACTGGTGTCCTTACAAAGGGAGATGAGGACATAGGCACACGCAGACTAAGGACAACCACGTGAAGGAGAAGACAGTCATCTATAAGCCAAGAGGGAGGCCTCAGAAGAAACCACACCTGCCGCTGCCTTAATCTTTAACCTTCAGCCTCCAGAACTATGAGAAAGTCTATTTCTGTTGTTTAAGCCACACAGCCTTTGGTACTTGTTCTGGTAACCCTAGCGAACTAATACACCAGCTCTTCTAATGATTCTGTGACGCCTCAATTGCCAGGATAAATCCCTTTTGGTTAAAAGAGCTCACAGTTTCTGTTTCACGCAATTGAGTCCTGCATAACCTCTACCGCCCCCGTCCTGCCTAGTACTGGGCTTCTGTTACGGGAGGGAGAAATAAATCCCTGTCTTGTTTAAGCCATGGATACTTGGGGTTTGTTGTTGTTGTTTTTAGTGGTGCTATTCGTGGCTGAACCTAATCCTAACTAATAAATAGTAAAAGAGTAAAGTAAAAGGTAAAGAAATGCAAGCATATTTCATTTTCCCAAAGAGCCAGTCCAAAATACATCTGTAAGAATGCTAAGGTGTGCTTCCTGGGAAGGAATGGACGTTCTTGTAGGATAAGCCCTGGGTCCAGAGCCACACACTCCTGGGTTCAAGTCCAGCTCTGCCACTCACTAGCTCTGCGGCCGTGGGCAAACTGTTCCGCCATGAGGGTATCGCTCCCTCATCTGTAAAAGGGGACCCCAATACCTACCTTGGAGGCCACTGCAGTGTCTATAAAATCTCCTGGCACAGTGCAAAATGCAGTGCTGGTGTCACTACTATTGTTTAATCGTATATAATCAATATTATACCACCATACCACTAGTGCACCATTACTGTTTTATTTTACATTATTGGACCTTCTTTGGAACCAAAAGCTTTTTATTTGCTGCATAAAATCTTATTTTAAAGGGACATTTAAACAAACAAGATGAGATGCAGCTGTGCCAGTGATTCATTATAATATCAGCACCCAAGACACAAGGGGACATGAATATCCACGTCATTTTTGTCTCCATGTATTAATTCACTCTAGGTTTCCTCCACACTGGAAAGGGAGTTACAAGCGCAGGCTCCAGGTGAGAAATACCAGAGGCTTCATCTCACCTCTGCCACTTTCCAGCTGTGACACCTGTCTAGCACCTCTCTCAGCCTTGGCTTCCTATCTATAAAATAAGGCTACTGCCAACCACGTCACAGGGCTGTTGTGAGCATACAATGTGCCAGTGCAAGGAAAGCATGTCACACGAAGCTCGGCGTGTGGTCAGCTGACAGTCACCATTATTATATCACACATCCTGTGTTTGGGCCTACCATGTAGCACGACAGCATGAAAGGGTGGCGAGAGCCAGGCATGAACTCACGGGTGTACACTTGGAGGAAGGCCGGTGTGCCCTCAGTGTCACCTAGGAAAGGACACACTGTGATGCGGTAGAAGGTGCTTGAGCGGAGTCCCGAGATGACAGCGCGAGCCTCGCTGACGGTGAGATTGAGAGGATCTGTCTCCCCCGCCACATGTATCTTGTAGGTATAGTTAGATGACGACTCATTATCACTGACTTTCCAGGTCAGGGTCAGGCTTGTGGCACTGATATTCACAACGGTGACGTCAAAAACCTGAATAGCATCTGTGAGAACACAAGAGGAGTTCAAAATAACCAGAACGGCCAAGGCAGAGGGAGGGAGAGGTCATCAGGGCATGCTGTCGAGCCCAGGAAACTCTCCTCTGCACCATCAGCCACGGCTAGGAAAGCATGAGGGTCCCAGCCAAAGTCAGGCATCATCAGGCGGTGAAGAAACAACCTGGCCAATGGCACCTACAGGGTTACTCTTTGTCCCTTTTTGTAAGTTGACTTTAGAGATTTGACCTAAATGATGACTTGGACTCTATGCATGTCTTACCCTAGGGCCAGGGGCACCCAGAAAAGTTGTCAAACACAAATGATGCAAAAGCGAACACTGCGATCTACGGGATCGCCTGAGATCACAGAAGTCAGGACGAGGCAGGCCTGGGTTCTAGGGCTCACTCTGCTGTGACACCCAGTTGGGCCGCAGGAAAACCACTGGAGCTCAGCTTCCTCATCTATAAAACTGGGAGAGCAATCCTAACCTCAAGAAAAGACAACCCAAGTGCCAGTTATTCGCCACCTGCCCACCCCACCCTCCCGACGTGTCTGCTGTCCTTCCCTCACCTGCTCTGTGCCCAGGAGGTTGACCCTGCACAAGGCGTCACAGGGGGGTCTTGCCACGTGGGCTGTGACCAGGTTCCACCATGAGCCAATGGGCAGGCACCTGAAGGGCCACAGGAGAAAGGAGTCGGTGCCTTCCTCCATCGCCTCCTGCTCTGGGCCTCCTGTTCTGACACAGCTGTGTCCTCCACTGCTCCAGCTCTCACTGGGCTCCAGAAACACCCTGTCCTCCTCTAGCCCTTCAGCCCTTGAGGTGGCTTTCTGCTGTGGACGAGTCTTGGGTGCCTCAACAATGTCCTCTGATGGTTTCCTTAACCCTGCCCCACCTAACTAGTCACTTGAAAAGTGCAGCGTGCTCTGAGGTGGGTGGAAATGTGTATTTGTGTGTGTGTGTGTGTGTGTGTGTGTGTGTGTGTGTGTGTGTGTGTGTGTGTGTGTTGCAACAGACTGAATGTTTCTGCCCCCATAAAATTCCTGTGTTGAAATCCTAACCCCTGATATGATGGTTTTTGGAGGTGGGGCTTTGGGGAGGCAATGAGGTCATGGATTACCTCCCTCCCAAATGTTATTAGTGCCCTTATCAAAGAGGCTGGAGAGAAACCCCTCCCTCACCCCTTCAACCACATGAAGACCCAGGGAGCCTGCAACCCGGAAGAGGAAGACGGTGTTCACCCAGAGCCCAGGTATGCTGCAGCACCCCAGTCTCAGACTTCCAGCCTCCAGAACCCTGAGAAATAAATGTTCATTGTTTACGCCATCTAGTGCATGGCCATTTGTTACAGCAGCCCAAACTGAATCAGATTTATTTATACACACACACTCGCCCCTTAGAGAGAGGGAAAGGCTACCATAATGATTATTTACCAAGCATGAAGACAGTTCAACGCAAACCAGGATGTGTGTGAATTCACACCACCAAGAGCCTGAGATGTAATCACTACTACTTTGCTTTTGCTCAAACTGCTTTAAAAAACAGGGACCCCAGGCCCACACGAATTCATGAGTCATTTGAGCAAATCAGGCAAAGGGCCCTTCTCCTGGCTGGGCCCAGCCCTGGATGCATGGCTTGATGCAGGGCACACAGGCCAGATTTCAGCCCCTTTCACCCTCTCACACAAGCTTACCATGTGCAGGACACCCCACCACTGCCAATCGCACCCATGTAGGAGCCCCTTCCTCCTCCTCCAACTAACCCACCCTCTGGAATCCAAGCCCTCCTCACCCGAGAGCCTCCCGCCTGCCACTCCTGCCAGGTCACTGCAGACCCAATGAAGTCAGGTGGGCTCTCCTACAGCCGCATCCTCCCCACCCACCCCGACGTTAGCAAAACAAGTACAAAGGGAAGGAAGGACACAAATGGACCCTCCTTCAATGTGGATACCACGAAAAGCTGTCATTCCTTACAGACATGGCTTCTCACCGATGTCTTGCCAAAACTTCTAGCCCTGTACAAGTAACACAGCCTGGCCAGTAACTACCTCTAGGTATTCCCAAACGTGTTCCCCTCCCGCTCTTTTCACCAAAGCCTCCAAATATTGGTGAACTTACAGAGTGAAAGTGCTGATACATTACAGCGAGGAAGCAGCAATGTGCATTTCAACAAGCATTTCAACAGAAAGACTGGTATGAATGACGAGGGCAGGCGACAAAACGAAACTCACTTTCTTAACTCAAAGTAGGGGAAAAATAAGCAATGATGATCTATTTTTAAGAGGAAAGTATGACGCCAGTTTGTGTCATCGGCCACCACGCAGAGCTGTGAAAGACGGCGGGAGGCAGTGCCCGGTGCTCACACACGGGCTGCTCCGTGTATCTGATTTCACTTAATGACAGATGTGCACTGCCCATGGAGTTAAGAAGAAACTGAGCAGATCTGCTCTGTCCAAAATCTCCTCCAGAAAGCTCCCTCTGACATCAAAACTAGTTGTTATGCAAGAAATCACTCAGAATCGGAATCACAGGAGACAGAACACTGCGCTAAGAAACTCTGGCTGCCACCATTTTACAAAGCTCAACCTACTTGTCCTGAACTCTATGGTCTGGGGCTGTCCTTCTGTGCCATTCGCTGCCTGGGAATAAACGGTGGCATTGTATCGGGTGCCAGGCTTTAACTCGACAAGCAGGACTTCCGTGTCTCGGGACTGCTGGCTGGAGGATGAGTCCGCAGGTCCCAGGAGGGACTCGTTGTACACAGGGGCGGTGGGGCTGCCTGCCCGGCTTCTCTCTGTGTTGCTGGCATCTGTTTCAAGCACAGGAGACAAAAAGACATCAACCACAAGAGGGACACATCCCCCATCTTCCTTTGGAGCCCCCCGCCCCATCAGATGGCCATCAGACAGTGGCCACAGTTGGTGCTCCATCAATATCTGCTCCCTTCCTCCTCCAGAGAGAGCAGCAGCCCCATAAAAAGGCCTGATAGCTCTATCTTCATTTGTACTGTTATTCCAGTAGCACCACAGATATCTGGCGCTTCTCCTTCAAACTCTGCTTATTTCAGGTCATTCTCCCTTCTTTGGGACGTTTTCTTCTCCTGTCCCAGCATGGATTTCCAGGGATAGCTCTGTGAAGCAGACTTTGCTAATCAGACCCCACTCAAGACACGTTTCCCTGGACCAGACCTTGGCTGGTGGGGCAGCTGCAGGGTGTGAAACGGGAGCAGCTGGGCTCCTTGAGTGTGCAGAGGGAGCTGCTCTGAGAATGAAGCTGATAAACAGAAAGAAGCAGGAGGGAGGGATGAGAATTGCCTCATCTCTTTCTCTAAGGCTTCCCGCTAGCAGGAAAATCCACACGAGACAATAAATCGTTCCTTCTGTCTGAGCTATCCAAAGTCTGGTTTCTGTCACTTGCAAGCAAGGATCCTGACATCCGCTCTGCGGCTCTGTTTTCCTAAGTGTACAATGCAGGTTAAGTTCCTGTCCTCCTCGTGGAGTCAGCCTGGGGATCCTCTACAAATGCTCTGAAATCTGCAAATAACAACGCCAACGTCAGCCAGCAGACGTGACAAGTTCCTCTGAAGGCCCAACTTGGGTTGACACAGCTGTTATTTGCTCAACTGAAAGAGAGAAAGCTAAAGGGGCCTCTACTTTCCCGGGTACCAGACTCTAAACAGTTTCAATCCCTATTGCTGTTCTCAGCCCCAATGTGTTCCCCTGTAAAATCAGAACACGTTTCCTTCCTTCCTCATGCAGGTGGGGGATCAAACTAAAATGTGGAGGAAAAGCCCTCTATAAATTCTAAATCTCCATACACATGGAAGAGCAATTTATTTTTTAAAACATTAAGATACTGAAAGTGAGAACCAGTAAGGGAGATGGGAGGTACCCTTTGTAACTCACCCAAGACCCCTTCTGTGCCCAGGGGGTCTCCCTCTGTCTTATTTGATTGTAGAAGATATGGGTTGATGCTGTATTGAACCCCTGGCTTCAGGCCTGAGATATTGACTGCGAAGTCTTGAGTCGACTCCTCATAGCTTCCAATGCCTTCAAGAAGCACCCGGCAGGAGGCAGTGCCATCGCCATTGCTCCAGGAGAGAGTAGCCTGCCTCACACCCGTGAGGGCAACACGGAGACCAGAAACTGGAATCGGCTCTATTTTAAAAACACAACATGCATTAATGGAATAAGAGATATGCAGTCACCTTCATTAAGAATGACTGGGGTTCAGTGCTGGGAGCAGGTTTTCAAAGAAAAGAAAAAAAGAAAGAATGAGGTCACTGAGGTCCTGATGTGACTCACTAAAAATACTTCCTTTCTATCACAGTCCAATGCATTTCCATCATTTCACAGCAGGGCTGGGGGAGAAAATAATAACGCGGAAAAGAAGCAAAAAACCTTAAAACTGAAATTGTTTAGGATCCACACTGGTCTCCAAGATTAACCCCAATAGTGACTGGACACTCTTCTAAATTGTCCCTTTTAAACGGTAGCATTTAATTACATGTGTTTTAGCTATCAGGAACAAAGCCTCAACTAAAGTGACTGCCTACTAATCTAAAGGTCTCAATTCAAGACAATGCAAATAATATCATTCTAAATTACCGCGACATTTGAAGTAAGCAGCACATTCGATATCCCAGCCCCAAGGGGATTTTTCAGAAGACATTCCGTCTCCACTATGTCCTGGCCCTTCCTCCCATCACCTTACTTGGCTGATAGTAACATAAGTCAAACCACTTCACCCAAAATGACATGCACTCCCCTCACTTATCCGGTAAGAACACGGAGACCCAGAAAGGCAGGGCGGTTTGCTCAAGAACACACACTCCCAGTAGCAGTGGGGACAGGAGAACCAGGGCTGTAGCTTCACGAACAGAAAAGCACAGGTAGGGCTGCAGATAGAGCCCTGCCTGAGGGCTGCAGGGGTCTGAAGGTGAAGACGTTGGCCTAGATGATTCTAAGGCACCGTCCAGCTCGGAAACAGTGAGATGATTCCTCACAGCACATGTCTCTCATGCAAAGATTTCTAAATCAGGTCAGTCGTGTCTTTTTGTTTTATTAAGTAACGCGGAACCAATCAATCCCCAGCTCGGTGACTGCGGATAGCTGTTATGAACATCACTGCGCCACAGTGGTCTAGAGTTAGACTCCGGGTTCCAGCCCCACCACTTGAAGCTCCTAACTCTGAGACGCCGGAAGAAACTTAACTTCTCCACATTACAGCGTCTTCCGCTGCAGCCCCCAGGGTTACTGTGAGGACAAAATAACAGTAAGGACAGCGAGGCACACGGTCCGTGCTCAATACGCAGCAGCTGACGGACCTGCTCCAATGCAGCCCTGCGCTCGGGGCTTTAAGGCAGATAAGGACGCTCGGCCCCTCTACCGGTGCTTCCTGCCCCTCCGCATCCCCTTTCCCACGGCCACCCCCTCGGGCTCGCCTTGTCCTCATCACCATTTCCAAGTTCTGTGCTCTTTTCTCTCATTCTCATCTCTTCTGTCTTCTCTCTGTGCTCTCCTTCTTTTCCTCTCTTTCACAAGGTAACAGAGCAAACCTTTACAGCGGGTTCCCCCCGCTCCCCCACAAAATAGGGCTCTGAGGAGCTCCAGGAGTTTTGTGAGGGTGCCCGTGACACCCATTTCTTTGGCTCTTTTCTCTCCAGCTCTTTTTGTTTTTACTTATTGAGCTCCTGGGCAAGGTTTTGTTTAAAGAAATAGTTTCCTGACTAAAAATGCTGGAAGCCACTGGTTTCGTGTTTGCTGCTCCATGCTGGATCTCGTTCACCTCCAGCCGTGGGGGCTCCAAGAGCTCAGGCGCCCATGGGCGACTCCAGCCCCTGAGATCACACCCCCCAGCCCCCCAGGTCAGAAAACTAACAGAGGACCTCTTTTTTCAATTTTTGGTTCTCTTCACCTTAAAAAAGTTTCTCCACCTGTTTTTTAAAAATGTTTGGTTCTTTTCAGCTTAAAAAAAGAGCTAAGTTTGCAGCTCTAATAGATGGCTTAGGCATTGACATCTAAGATAAATCAAAATCTAAACTGTCAAATCTGAATTAAAATTTAAATATCATCAAGCTCTTATTTCATTTGAAACACACGCTCCTCTATAACATACACCAAACTTCCCTGCCCAACACAAACTCCTGGGAATACAAACACAGCATCAATTTCCTGGGAGCTTAAAAGGCCGGTAATTACCATGAAAACACGTTTTTAAGGAAGTCTCTACTCCTGAGTCTTAACAGAAAAGTAGGTATTAACCAACAATAACGGAAGATGTTTAAAACCACACAGAAGTCGTCAGAACTTCCCAAAACACAGAGGGCCTTCATACTGAATGATGTGGGGAAATCCGAGGCTTGCAACAACACAGCACCTTTTCTCCTCTTCTAGTTTATGCAAACCACTCTCTTCCCAACAGACAACTTGAATGGACCAGGCCCTAGAACACAGGATAATAAGAAATGGTTTGTCACCATCCCTGGGAGCCAGTCATCTTACCTGTGACGACATTGATGACTCTGGGATCTCCCCAAGTCTCATTGCCTGTTCCTGGAGTGACGGAGAACACATATGAAGTTCCAGGACGTAAGCCTGTGATGTTACACCGTGGTCGATACACAACAGTAACTGTTGTCTCATTTTCCATCTCATTCTTTACCACACACTTGTACTCGGAAGCAGCCGAGTCGTTACTTTTCCAGGTTAAGATCACATTGGTTGGACTGATGGAAACAGCTTTAATGTCAAACACAGGACTGGGCCCTATATTGTTTTCAAAAAAAAAAAAAATTAATGCACTTCAAAAAGAAATGTAAGAGCGAGGTCTGCTCTATAGGTCTAGTTTCCAGAAGTGACTTTCCAATCACAGAGTTTTATCTCTTTGCTTTCTAGACTTCCCTGCACCACAATTTATTTAAATCCATATGCATACATGTACGTATGTATGTTAGTAAAACAGAAGCCTTTGGAACAGAAGCAAAACTGATAGAAGTTGGTCGTGTTGGCTGTGACTTAAAAATGGGGTTAAGTCTGTATAGAAAGTGATACAAAAAGAGACCAAATTTTGGGAGGCCAAGGCGGACGGATCCCCTGAGATCACGAGTTCAAGACCAGCCTGGCCAACATGGTGAAACCCCATCTCTACTACAAAAATACAAAAAGTAGCTGGGCGTGGTGGCAGGCGCCTGTAATCCTAGCTACTCGGGAGGCTGAGGCAGGAGAATCACTTGAACCCAGGAGGTGGAGGTTGCAGTGAGCCGAGATCGCGCCACTGCACTCCAGCCTGGGTGATAAGACTGAGACTCCGTCTCAAAATAAAAAAAAGAGATCAAAGATGCAAAATGAGTCCATCTCCCCATTCTCAGAAAACGCCGCATGATGCAGAAGCACATGCTAACTTTTTTGCCAAACCCTGACATCTAGAAGGAAGCTCAGTGGTTTTCTGACATAAAGATAGCATAAAAAGAAAAGAACTGGTCTTGGAACCCAGATCGGGGATTAAAGACCTGCTCCATCTATTAGCTGTGTGGCCTAGAATTAGTCCCTTCAAACCTCTCCATCTCCAATTCCTCTGTTGACAGCTCTAGCACACCACACTAAACACAATGAATTATTATTGAACCACCATGATACGATAAACAAGGGACAAGATTTGGACATTAGAAATCTGGTTTCAGGGTCCAATTCTGCTAGTCGCTCACCGTGCAATTTTACTCAAAGTAATCTCACCTCTCTGAACCTTAGTTTCATCATCTTAGATGTACAAGATCGTAAACCAGTGGAAGCCATCAGGGTTACTAACTGTAGAACTACCAAATGCATGCATCCTAATTAAGCTGAAGACTGAGGAGTAATAATCAGAAACTGAAGAGTAAAACCCAGGTGATATGGCCATCATTCTCAAGGAGCTTGGGACTAATCCCAAAGGAGTAGAGATGGCATAAGTGTTACCATCTTGGTATGTGCATGGAAAGTGTGCCTCACCTGGCTCATGGGATATACATTCATTCATCCAATCAATAAAAAAACTGCAGGAAGCCAGGCACACTGGCTCATGCCTGTAATCCCAGCACTTTGGGAGGCTGAGGCAGGCAGATCATTTGAGGTCAGGAGTTTGACACCAGCCTGGCCAACATGGTGAAACCCTGTCTCTACCAAAAATACAAAAATTAGTTGGGTATGGTGGCAGCCACCTGTGATCCCAGCTACTCAGGAGGCTGAGGCAGGAGAATCGCTTGAACCCAGGAGGTGGAGGTTACAGTGAGCCAAGATCGCGCCACTACACTCCAGCCTGGGCAACAGAGCGAGACTCTGTCTCAAAAGAAAAAAAATTAATTAATTAATTAAAAAGGCAGGAGAAGAAATAAGAGAAGGGAAAATGGAACAAGCAGGGAAGGATCCTGTGGCCCACAATTCAACAAACACCATGCCAGAAGGCCCCTCCAGGCTTGAGTGTCCTCTTTATAAAGTGACACGTTCACAGAGTCAGAGTGGCATAGTTGGAAGATGATCGCAGCTGCTCCCATTTACAATCAATAACAATGATGGTGATGAGGATAATGATAAAACAGTAACAATAGTTGCAGTGGTACAGGTAGCAAGAACAGCAGCACTCCTTTTGAGAGGCCAACCATGTCCCAGATGCTGTACAGTATGTTCTCATTTATGCCTCACAACAACTTCATGAGAAAACTATGGCACCATTTTTTTTTTTTTTTTTTTTTTTGAGACAAAGTCTTGTTCATCACCCAGGCTGGAGTGCAATGGTACAATCTCAGCTCACCGCAACCTCTGCCTCCCAGGTTCAAGCGATTCTCCTGCTTCAGCCTCTCGAGTAGCTGGGATTACAGGCACCCGCCACCACACCCGGCTAATGGCACCATTTTAAAGAAGGAGAAATGCTTTAAGAAGTAAATTGTATTGATTCACACAGGAATTCTGGGAAGGTTTTGGAAAAGCAAGTTCTTAAGTTCAGAAAAGAAAGCACAGTTAACAGTATTTTTTGGTCAAATGTTTTTTCTGCATCTGCTGAAATGACTGTATGGTTTCTGTCCTTCATTCTGTTAACATGGTGTAGCACATTTATTGTTTCACACAAGTTGAACCCTTTTTGCATTTCTTGGAAGAATCCCACTTGATCATGATGAATGATCTCTTTAATATGCTGTTAAATTAGGTTTGCTAGTATTTGGTTAAAGATTTTTACATCTTGGCCTATAGTGTTTTGGGTTGTAGCCTTGTCTGGTTTTGGTATCAAGGTAATGCTGGTCTTGTTAAATGAGTTTGGAAGTATTCTCTCTTCCTCAATTTTTGGAAGCATTTGAGAAGAATTGTCATTAGACCTTCTTTAAATGTTTGGCAGAGGACTGGGTGCAGTGGCTCACACCTGTAATCCCAGCACTTTGGTAGGCCAAGGTGGGGGAGTCACTTGAGGCTGGGAGTTCAAGACCAGCCTGGGCAACATAGTGAGACCCCATCTCTACAAAAAAATTTTAAAAGTTAGCTGGATGTAGTGGTGCACACCTATAGCCCCAGGTACTCGTGACGCTAAGGCAGAAGGATCATTTCAGCCCAGGAGTTCAACTTACAGTGATCTATGATCACACCACTGCACTCCAGCCTGGGTGACAGAGGGAGACACTGTCTCTTAGAATAATAATAATAATAAATAGAAATGGGAGATGTTATATTACTGATTCAACCTCCTAACTCATTATTGGATTATTCAGATTTTCTGTTTCTTTGTAATTCAATCGTAGTAAACGGTATATGGCAAGGAATTTATCCATTTCTTCTAGGTTATCCAATGTGTTGGCATATAATTGTTCATAATTGTTCCTTTGTATTTCTGTGGTGTCAGTTTATAATGTCTCTCATTTCTGATTTTCTTGGAGTAGTGTCTCTTTTTTCTTAGTCTAGCTAAAGCTTTGTCAATATTCCTTATCTTTAAAAAAAAACAATTTAGTTTATTGATCTTTTCTATTGTTTTTCTAGTGCCTATTTCATTTATTTCAGTTTTGACTTTTATTATTTTGTTTATTTTACTAATTTGAAGATTAGTTTGTTCTTGTCGTTCTAGTTCCTTAACGTGCCACATCAGGTTGTTTACTTGAGGGTTTTGGTTTTTGCTTTTTTCAGACAGGTTCTCAATACCCAGGCTGGAGGTGTGAGCTTGCTTTTTTTTTTTTTTTTTTAAGATGGAATCTTGCTCTGTTGCCCAGGCTGGAGTGCAGTGGTGCGATCTCAGCTCACTGCAATCTCTGCCCTCTGGGTTCAAGCAATTCTCCTGCCTCAGCCTCCCTAGTAGCTGGGATTATAGGTGTGTGTCACTACACCTGACTAATTTTTGTATTTTTAGCAGAGACGGGGTTTCACCATGTTGGCCAGGCTGGTGTCGAACTCCTGACCTCAAGTGATCCACCCACCTCGGCCTCCCAAAGTTCTAGGATTACAGGCATGAGCCACCATGCCCAGGGAGCTTTCTTTTTTTGATGTAGGAGTTTATTGCTGTCAACTTTCTTGGAAGGGTTGCTTTTGGTGTATCCCATAGGCTTTAGTATATTGTGTTTCCATTTTCATTGGCTTCAAGAAATTTTTAAATTTCCCCTTTAATTTCTTCACTGACCCATTGATTGTTCAGGGGCATCTGTGACAAAACAATTAACAATAGTTACTGTGGGAGATGGCAAGATCAGCATCACCCCTATTGGGGACCTGACCATGTCCCAGATCCTGTACTAGGGCTGTACAAGCATTTTCTAATTTATGTCTCACAGTAACTTCATGAAGGTGGTTATCGCACCATTTTAAAGAAGAAGAAGAAATATGTTAACAAATTTGCTTAAGAAGTGATGTTTGTCTCAAGATATTTTTTAGTTTCCCTTTTAATTTCATCATCAATCCATTAGTTGTTTAGGAGCATGTTGTTTAATTTCCATACATCTGTGAATTTTCTGAAGTTCCTCCTGTTATTTATTTCTAGTTTGATGCCATCATCAGAAAAGACATTCAATATGATTTCACACTTCTTAAATCTGTTAAGACTTGTTTTGTGGTCTCACATATGATCTACCTGGAGAATGTTCCAAGTGCAATTGAAAAGTATATATTCTGTAGCTGTTGGATGGAATATTCTGTATATGTCTGATACATCCATTTGGTCTAAACTGTAGTTTAAGTCTGATGCTTCCTTATTGATTTCCTGTCTGGATCATCATCCACTGCTGGAAGTAAGGTATCGGAAGTCCTCTACTATTAATGCATTGCAGTCAGTCTCTCCATTCATATCCATTAATATGTGCTTTATATATTTAGGCATTTCAATGCTGGTTACATATATACTTACAATTGTTAAGACTTCTTGATTAATTGATCCCTTTATCATTATAAAATGATGTTTGTTGTCTCTATTAAAAGTTTTGAACTTAAAGTTTATTTTATCTGATATAAGTATAGCTACTCCTGGCTCTCTTTAGATTTCCATTAGCATGGAGTATCTTTTTCCATCCCTTCACTTTCAGTCTAGGCATGTCCTTGCAGGTGAGGTGAGTCTCTTGTAGACAGCATATTATTGAGTTTGCTGCTTTTTTTTTTAACCCATTCACACACTCTATGTCTTTTGACTGGAGAATTTAAACCCTTTACTTTCAAGGTTATTATTGATAGGTAAGAACTTACTACTGCCATTTGGTTGTTTTCTAGACTTTTTGTTCCTTTCATCCTCTCTTACTATCTTCCTTTGAGGTTAAGTGATATTCTCTAGTAGCATGTTTTGATTCCTTGCTTTTTAATTTTTGTGTATCTACTAAAGGTTCTTCTTTGTGGTTACCATGAGGCTTATAAAAAGAATCTTATAGTTATAACAAGTTATTTTATGCTGATGACAACTTTGATCACATGCACAAAAATTGACCTCTACACTTCTAGTCCATTCCCCCCTCACATTATGAATTGTTTATGTCACCATTTACATCTTGTTATATGCATATCCCCCTGCAAGTTACTGTAGTTATTATTTTTTAAGTATTATCTATTAACTTTCATACTAAAGATACGTATGACCATTAGAGTATTCATGTATTCTGAATTTGGCTGTGTATTTTACTAGTCTTATCCTTTCATATGTTTTCAATTAATCATTAGTGTCCTTTTCTTTTGGCTTAAAAACTCTCTTTAGTATTTCTTATAAGACATGTCTAGTGGTGATGAACTCCCTCAGCTTTTGTTTCTCTGGGAAAGTCTTTTATCTCATCTTCATTTTTGAAGGCCAGTTCTGCTGGGTATAGTAATCTTGGTTGGCAGGTTGTTTTCTTTCAGCACTGTGAATATATCATCCCACTCTCTCCTGACCTGTAAGTTTCTGCTGAGAAGTCTGCTGCTAGCTAAAGTGGAGCTCCCTTATATGTTATTTGCTTCTTTTCTCTTTTTGCTTTCCAAATCCCCGTTATCTGTGATGTTTGACAGTGTGATTATGTTCTGGAGTAGTCTTGTTTGAATTGACTCTGATTGGGGTCATTTTTCATTCCCATACCGGATATTTATATCTTTCTCCAGGTTTGGAGAGTTTTCTGCTACTATTTCTTTAAATAAGCTTTCTACCTCTTTATCTTTCTCTTCCTCTAGATGAACTCCGATTCAAACACTACCTCTTTTGATGCTGTCCCATAAATCCTATAGGCATTCTTCATTCCTTTTTATCCACTTTTTCTTTTTCCTCCTCTGACTGTATGTTTTCAAATAATCTGTCTTTAAGTTCAAAGATTATTCTTCTGCTTGATCAATTCTACTCTTGGTGCTCTCTACTACATTTTTCATTTTGTTCAAAGTATTTTTTAGCTTCAGAATTTCTGTTTGCTTCTCTGTTAATTATCTCAATCTAGTCACTTATTGTTTTCCTCATTTCTTTGAATTATTTATCTGTATTTTCTTAAAGTTTGCTAGGCTTCCTTAAAACATGTATTTTGAATTCTCTGCCAGACAGTTCATACATCTCCCATCTCTTTATGGTCAACCACTTGCACTTTATTTTGTCTCTCTAGTAATATCATGTTTGCCTGATTATTCTTGATCTTTGTGACTCTCTGTTGATGTCTGTACATTTGAAGAAGTAAGTTCTTATTCCAGTCATTGTAGATTGGCTTCCTCTGGAAATGCCCTTCAACTTAGTAAGCCTGTCCAGAGATTTCTGGGCAGACTTATCTGGTATGGTCCCAACTCCTAGGACTACAATGGCCACTGAAGTACTAGGGGGTACCCTAAGCCCAAATTTTTGTAACAATACTTAACATAAGCTCCCTAGGAATTTCTTTTATTTATTTACTTTTTTTTTTTTTGAGACAGAGTCTCACTCTATCAGGAGTGCAGTGGCACCATCTCCACTCACTGCAACCTCCACCTCCTGAGTTCAAGCAATTCTCTTGCCTCAGCCTCCCGAGTAGCTGGGATTACAGGCACGCACCACCACACCCAGCTAACTTTTGTATTTTTAGTAGAGATAGGGTTTTGCCATGTTGGCCAGGCTGGTCTCGAACTCCCAACCTCAGATGATCACCTGCCTTAGCCTCCCAAAGTGCCGGGATTACAGGCGTGACCCACTGTGCCCAGCCCCCTAGCAATTTCTAAAAGTTTCTCATATTACCCTAGAAATAATTCAATGATTTAACTGTGTATGTGAAATGATACTATCAATACTTCTAGAACTAACAAAACTATTGTATCACAATGTTTTTTATGAAAAAAATGTAAATAATTTAAATAATCTACCTTCTCAACAACAGGGGAGTAGTTAAATAATTTACAATGCTTCTAGACAAGTAATTCTTCAACACTGTGGTCTCAGGGCCCTTCTAACTGCTTAAGAATTATTAAGGCTCTTGGAGAATTTTTGTTTATATGGGTTATCTTGATTAATATTTACCATACTGTATTATGAATTAAAAAGATAAAGTTTTTTAAACATAACAATACAAAAGCATACATTCCATTAGCTGTTAGAGTGACAGCGTCATCCCATATCATATAGAATCTGCAAAACTCCACTGGACACTCATGATCAAATGAGAGTAAAGAAGCCAAATAACATGTTAGTAGTATTATGATAATACCCAGAAATACCTTGAAAGAATCTAGGAGACCCCTAGAGATCTCTGAACCACAGTTTTAGAATCACTGATCTAACCCAGGTCTCAGCAATGTTTTTCTGTAAGGGCCAGAGAATAAATATTTCAGGTTTTGCAAGCCACATATTCTCCATTGCCACTACTCAATTCTAGCATGAAAGCAGCCATAGGCAGACTCAATAAAACTTTACTTACAAAAACAGGAAGTGAGCCATATTTGGCCCAAGAACCATTATTATCTACCAACCCTGATTTAGACATCAGAATGCCAGGCAGGTATTAAAACTGTCCTGTAGAAATGTACATACTAACAGAGAAGAATACTTGTAATATATTGTTGAGAAACTACATGTAAAGGATGACCTCGATACTTGTAAAACAAAATAAAACGTACACATATGTATATACATATGCACACAGGCACGTACACATCTTAAAATTGTAAAACTCGTATATCAAGTGATCAGTGGTTATCTCCAGTTAATGATTTACTTGTTATTCTTTTCTTCTTGTCTATATTTTATATAATGAATATGCATTACTATCATTATAAAAATTGTTTTAAAGATTTTCTTAGGTAATTGAAAGAAGAACAATATTTGGAAAACATGACATTTTAAATTATACCGATTTCCTTTAAGAAATATGACTGCTCGGCAGAAAAGCCCACGCTTACCAGTAGCACTGGGAGTTTTTTGAGATGCTCCATCAGTCCCATTAGATCCTTGTTCAGGTGTTCTTAAACTATCATTGGCTCCAGAGTCTTCGCCACCCTCACTGGTATTTGTTGGCACCTGAGGTGTTCCAGTTCCATTCAGTTTGTAAAAAGATGCTGCTTCACTGCTGATCTGGGTTACGCCACTTTCCGCTGTGGCAACAGTTGTTACTGAAGGGTCACGAGTTGGACCAGGGGCTATGCAAAGATAATAAACAATTAGATTAAAAATACATTTCTCCAGGAGACAGGGATGCCCCACCTCACAAACTATTTACTCTGAAATGAAATGCAAACTTAGGAAAACTGATCCCTCTCTTTCTCTTCTTTGTATCATCACCTACAACATGAGCCCCCTCAGGAACTGCTGTTTCTGGCCACATGGAGAGTACCTGGCCATGAGAGTGCAGAAGCTCCGTGCTTACATTGCACACAGTCATTCACAGGAAATGAGAGGAGGCGTGAGCTCATGTGGCCAAGGGCTTAGGCTCTGGAGGAGAACCTTGGCCACACGGGCCACTTTATTTTGAATGCATTACTAGTCTCCCAGAGTCTCTGTTCAGGGAGGTGCAGCAGAGACCACTCTTGACCCCCCAACTCCATTCCCCCATTTTCCCTTCATCATACTCCTGGAGATTTTTGGCCCTGTGTGTGCATGGCTGTTGGGAACAAAGACTACATTTCCCAGCCTCCCATGCAGCTAGATGTTGCACGTGACTAAGTTCTGTCCAACAGAGTGTGACCAGACGTTCTGTCTGACTTCTAGGAAGAGTCCTTAAAGGGTGGAGGCACAACCTTCTGTCCTTCCTCCTTCTTAAACCTGTAGTGTGGATGCAATGACTGGAGCTCACGCTGCCTGGCTTCCAACACTACAGCAGTGGCTGCAGCTTCCTGATCCCAGAATCACAGCTCAGAACATACACCCCTGGATCGAGCAACTACAGCAGGGACTCCCTGATTCCTCCCTCTGCTGTCTGTGACCAAGGTGGTGACTCTCCACGGGGTCAGTTCTGCAGCCTTAGTCTGGGAGTCATTTCTCAGGGCTAGGCCTAAAGCCTGCTCCCCAGCTGTTATGAGCTGACTTGTGCTCCCCCACCCCCAAATTCGTATGTTGAAGTCCTAACCCCCAAGACCTTGATCTTATTATAGCAGCCCTGGCAAACTAATACAGCAGCCCTTCCAATGACTCTGTAAACTCTCACTTCCCAGGGTAAACCCTTTCAGTTAAAATAGCTCATGGTTTTTGTTTCCCACAACGGAGCCCTGGCCAACATTCTACGATCTACGGTAGATGTCTGCATAGAAGTGTTCTTCTGCAGCCCTGATTCACGCCTGTACAAGGTACCCACCAGTTTATTTATTAAACTAATTAACAGGAAGAAAAACCCATGGCAGAACTCTTCCCATTGTTTGCACAGGCTCTAATTACCATTATTAATTGAGATTTGCTTTATTAGAGGGTTTCAGCAAGATCTGACCTTGTGTATGCTTCCATGAGTACAATCTGATTATTTTATCTCTATTTTATCTCACAAACTGAGATTTTACCAATCAGGAAAAAAAGGTTCCCAAATGTTGGGAAGAAACAAAAGCCACTGTTTTTGTTTTGTTTTGTTTTTTTCCCTAAAAGGTACATTTTTTAAAACTACCAACTACTATTATCTTTAATTCTTTTTTTTTTTTTAAACAGTTTCACTCTTGTTGCCCAGGCTGGAGTGCAATGGCATGATCTCAGCTCACTGCAGCCTCCACCTCCCGGGTTCAAGTGATTCTCCTGCCTCAGCCTCTCAAGTAGCTGGGATTACAGGCGCGTGCCACCACGCCTGGCTAATTTTTTGGTATTTTTAGTAGAGACGGCGTTTCACCATGTTGACCAGGCTGATCTAGAACTCCTCAATTTAGGTGATTTGCCTGCCTCGGCCTCCCAAATTGCTGGGATTACAGGCGTGAGCCACTGCAACCAGGCTTCAATTCTTATAGAAACGTTTTATGGCCAAAAAATTAGTAAGACCAGATTGTCGGGGCCAAAAAATAAATAAATAAATAAATAATCCCGGGGTGGATGGTGCCTTCAACTGAATATATTTAAGCTTCTGTAAAAAACTTGTAGTCATATCCTTATTTTTCTCATTTTATTACAGACCAGGGAATGAACCAGCACTGTCAGCAGTTGGGACTCAGCCTCGTACATGAAAGCAAAACATGCAGGAGTCCAGGTCTCGTTTTCCAGAGGTTATGCCAACCTTGCACACCATTCTTTAAATGTAGCAATGTAGCAACACAAGAAAATACTTAAAGGATAACAGTATAAAAACAATATACAAATGCTGTATTACAATTTCAACTAAGTTAAATCGCCCACAAATGGGGCTTGAAAAAAATTACAGAAAATATAAATTTTCATCATGATTGCACAATTAATTAAAACGGTGAAACCCCGTCTCTACTAAAAATACCAAAAATTAGCCGGGTGTGCTGGCGGGCGCCAGTAGTCCCAGCTACTCGGGAGGCTGTGGCAGGAGAATGGCGTGAACCCAGGAGGCAGAGCTTGCAGTGAGCCGAGATTGCGCCTCTGCACCAGTCTGGGTGACAGAGCGAGACTCCGTCCCCCCCCCCCAAAAAAAAAAAAAGAAAAGAAAAAAATTCTTTCATTTTTGTTTCCACCCTTACTCCTAAAGAAAAACTGGGGCCGGGCGTGGTGGCTCGCGCCTGTAATCCCAGCACTTTGGGAGGCCGAGGCGGGCAGATCACCTGAGGTCAGGAGTTCAAGACCAACATGGGGAAGCCCCGTCTCCACTAAAAATATAAAAAATTAGCCGGACATGGTGGCACGTGCCTGTAACCCCAGCTACTTGAGAGGCTGAGGCAGGAGAATCGTTTGAACCCGGGAGGCGGAGGTTGCAGTGAGCCGAGATAGCACCACTGCACTCCAGCCTGGGCAACAGAGCAAGACTCTGACTAAAAAAAAAAAAAAAAAAAAAAGGAAGAAAAGAAAAGAAAAAAGAAAAGAAAGAAAAATTGGAAACCGAGCAGGTTTTATTTAATAAATTAGCATTAGCATTTTCACATTGCTGTTAATGTTGCTATGTGTCCATCAGGGGGCAGTAGCGAACAACACAAGAATGGAAAGGAAAACGGTACTCACGGTCACCTGCGCACAGGATCTGAAACAGAAAAAGAAAACGGAAGTCAGCAGATTCATTCAGCCATGGAAAATGCAAATCAGAAATAAAGCAGTTGAGGATTTCATAATGGGGGTGGGGTGGTAAGAAGCACATTAAGCAAAGGTCGGCTGGTCAGGGTTGGGGCGTCCTGGGACATTAAACACAAGGAATCATTGCAACCTCGGGTCAATTACAAAGGATTAACTGGGTTATGTGGGGGCTGGCGGCTGCTGACTCCCAGTGCCCAGTGTTTCTCCCCAGACACATACCCCCACCTCCAGCCCTCTCCCCAGAGCAACTCCCCAGGTCAGCACCTCCCTCCACCCACTGTGTGATGAGTTGAAGCAGAAGGACACAGAAGCAGACACCAGATTGTTGGGGCCAGAAAAGGGCAGTTGGGTGGGTGGGAGGGGGGTAACAAGACCAGCACACCCCTTCCCCAGTCCTGACAGCACGGTGGAAACCAGATGTGCAGCAGAAGAAATCCACTGGGTTTGGGATTTTCACGGTACAAAAATTCATCTTTTTCTATCAGTAGGTGGCAGTAAAATTTTTTAATCACATGTCAAGCAGCTTTGGGAAGAATTAGTGTTTGACACACAAGGGGCCTTAAAGGTTTAGCTGACAGTGTCAGCTGGGGAAGGCAGCAGCCCTCAAGGATATTCATTGTGATCCATAATTATTTCCCTCTACTTTAAAAACCTAAAGTGATTCAAGGTTGTATACTCTACTGTTTCATAAACACATCTTTTTGGTGAATAGAATTTTTTTTTTTAAGTAGGATTGTCACAAAGAATCAAATAATCAAAAAGGACCCCGGTGGAAAAAACCATCCTCCTACTTTCCATGACACTTAGAATAAAATTCAAACCCAACCACAACCCACCAGCCCCTCTGGTCTCACTGCCCACTCACATTCTCGAAACTGATTCTCCCCTAGAGCCTTTACATATTTACTCCCTCCCACAAACACACTCTGCCCAGACCTTTTCATGGCCTGCCCAAAACGCCACCTCCTTGGCAAGTCCTTCTCCAAGCAGCCATGGAAACCAACAGCCCTCACTCTCCATCCATCAATGACTGCTCCAACCACACTGTGCGCTTCATGAGAATAGAGACCTTGTCTGTGCCCCATGGCTAGAATGGTGGACACAGTAGGCGCTCCATAAACGGCACTGGAAGGAAAGAACGAACCCAGAGGGAAAAGTCTTTCCCCAAGGTCCTCCAAATCTAACTTCCCATTCCCATCTTTCACCCTACCGTCAAGTCCTTCACATCTCGGGCCTACCATTTTTCAGCTCATCCTTCTCCTCCAGCCCCTGCCCTTCAATCTATGCTGAGCCTCAATCCACAGTCTATGATGAATCATAGGAGAGAGGGAGAAAAAAGAGAAGTCGATAGCTAGGCAAGTCGCACAGGGCAGCAAACATTTTTTTTGCCCAGTTAGGGGAAAGATTAAAGTAAAAGCACTGTGGGAGGCTATCCTTGGAAACGCATTCTGCAGATAAAAAGGAACTCTAACTTACTAAGTACCTACTATGTAACAGGCACTGTGCTAGGCTTTCTACATCCCTTGTCTCAGCACAGAACCATGGAGTGATGGCTAAGAGCTGGGACCTGGACTTAGACCACCTGAAGGAAGTCGTTCACTGCTTCTGGCCATGTGACTGTGGGCAGGCAGCTTGCTTAATTAACCTCTCTGTCCCTCCCTGTCTGTATCTGCCAACAGGATAATCCCTGCTTTAACGAGAGTTAAGTTAAATGATCTATTTGCGCTGCTGTTGTCACCATCATCATCCTTACCTCTTCACAGCAACCCTGTGAGGCACTTTTATACCCATTTTACAGATAACACCACTGAGGCTCAGATCCTCCTGATTGAAACCAATGTGTAATCTGAAGCTCATACTCTCTCCAGCATTGTTTTCCAAAGTATTTTTTGAATAATTTATTTTTATAATTTATTTATTTATTTTTTAAGAGACAAGGTCTCACTCTGTCACGGGCTGGAGTGCAGTGGTACAACCACAGCTCACTGCATCCTTGATCTCACATGCTCAAGCAATCCTCCCACCTAAGCCTCCCAAGTAGCTGGGACTACAGGCATGCACCACCACACCCAGCTAATTTTTTTATTTTTGTATGGGGACAGGATCTCACTTTGTTGCCCAGATTGGTCACAAGCTCCTGGGCTCAAGCAAGCCTCTCACCTTGGCTTCCCAAAGTGCTGAGATTACAGGCAGGAGCCACCATGCCCAGCTTTTTTCTCCAAGTATTTAAATAGACCAACAACCCAGTTGCAGAGGGCACGGAGGCCCAGAGACAATAAGTGGCTTGTTCACGGACACACAGCCAGAGAGGACGCACAAGAACCAGAACCCAGATCTTGACCTCCACCACTCTCCCTTACATCTTCACAGCAAAGTCATTAGTACAGATGACCCAAAGCTTCTGCTGGTCCCCGTAGCTAGACAAAAGGAGCAAATACTAAGAAAAGAGATCAAGCTCACAACTCAGCAGTGACAGACACAGGAAGAATGCAGTACGGCCCACAGTTCTGGCCAAAGACTTCCCCGTACACCCCAGGTGTGGCAGAGAACCCGTTAGTCACCCAGATGTGCCCAGGAACACGCAATGCTACCCAGAAGGTAGAAGCTTCTCTGTCCCCTTTCCTGAGGGGAAACCCCTTGCCGGTGAGCCTTCCAGCCTTGTACACTGCCCTAGAGATGGTTCTAGTTTCACATCCTCCTTTGTTTGTGCTGATAAGTCGAACCCTTTCTTTTTTCTTTTTACTTTTTTTTTTTCCTTGCCAGCAGGAAAAAGCACTACCAGTCCCACCTATGGTTCCAGTCACAAGGATCCTCATCCAGGCCTCAGAGAAAAATAAACTGTTAACGCGGCTTTCTACAGCATCCCAATTCAGCCAAACCTGCAGCCATGACATCAGTGGTCCACTCTGAACATTGGATTCTTCCCACTCAGAAACTAAGGCCGGGCACGGTGGCTCACGCTTGTAATCTCAGCACTTTGGGAGGCAGAAGCAGGGGGATCACCAGAGGTCAGGAGTTCCAGACCAGTCTAGCCAACATGGTGAAACTCCGTCTCTACTAAAAATACAAAAATTAGCCAGGTGTGGTTGCATACACCTGTAATCCCAGCACTCTGGGAGGCTAAGGCAGGAGAATCGCTTGAACTGGGGAGACGGAGGTTGCAGTGAGCTGAGCTTGCGCCACTGCACTCCAGCCTGGGTGACAGAGTGAGACTCCGTCTCAAAAAGAAAAGAAAAAAAAAAAAAGAAACTAAGTCACAGGGATCTTACCAGCTGCATTTATACCTAAAACTTCTAAAATTTTCCCCAACTCCTCTTCATGAAAATCCTACACGTACATACACATCAAAACAGACCCCCTACGTATTCTCCTCTTCCCCTCTGACATGACTGTGTCATTAAACCTGTCTCCCAGTCTGCAAACCTGAATAACCTGTGGTTCTTCCCTCCTCTTCATTCTCTGTGGGTCACACAAAGATGTTTCCTTGCCCAGCGCACCCAACGCTTCTGTACTGTGCATATTGTAAACCAAGTCCTCATAACCTCCAGCCCTAAATCACAGAAGCAGCCTCATCCTAGGGCTGAGAAACACTCAGGGCATTTCCATTTTCATTTCTTGAAGCTCCCGGGGCACACACAGACATACAAAATTAGGAAGTACCAGAACAGGGTTGTACCTACTGCCGTATATTTTTGGTTCTACTTCTGTTAGAGCATCACCCTGACTCGACCTATAACCCCTCATTTGGAATTTAAGGGACTTAAACGGGGGCCTTTTGTGAACACCAGTGGTGACAGCCAGGCCCTACTCCCTCATCCATATACCTGGTTGCCTCTCCCTTCAATCCACAGTAAAAAAAATAAACAGAACTGCGAATTCCTCTTTCCAAAACATGCAGTATTAGCCAGGATCCTAGCTGGAGCAGATGACACACTCAACCAGGGTGAGCAAGGGAGAGTTTTAAAGGGTCTGTTTTCAAGGGTGAGGGTGGGGTTAAGGAAAACCAGTAAGGGATGGGCAAGAATCCTGGGGTAGCAGCAGCAAGAAAGGGCAAGGAGAAGGCCAAGGCTGCTTCCCCTCATCTCCAGCTGGGGCCTCTCGCCGGGCTGGCCCACCGGAAGCTGGAGGCCAAGGGCACCCGCTGGTGTAGAACATAAAGGTCAGTCTCCTCCTGCTGGGCAGAGGAGGGTAGAGACGGGTGGGCAGGGTCTCAGGAGCCCACAAGAGATCCGGGGCACAGAGCTCCCATCACATCACCACTGACAGCCCGTCAGCCTGGCAGGTGTGGACTAGGGTGGTTAAGAGGTTAGTTCAACTTCCACTGTCACTCATGAGCTCTGGCACGTGAGGGTCTCGTGGAGCCATTGGTTTCATCTACTGTAAAATGATGCAGGGGCATCTGCAATACAGACCCCACATCTGAGTTGTCCTGAGACTCGAACAACAGAAGGTTCCTTAATTCCCAGCCTAACAGCCACCTTCTTGCCTCACTGAACCTCCGCAGCTACCGCCCTTCAATTCACTTGGTGACTTCCTGTGACTGCTGTAGCCCCTAGGAGCTCTCCAGGCTCTCAGCCCCTCTCCGTCCATCCCGCTGTCCATACTGCTAACTGTGGCCCTGCAGGGCCCCAGGCCCCAGATTAGGTGCCAAAGATGCAGAGGGTACTTAAGGTGGTCCTGACTCCCCAAGAGCTCACAGGCAAGAAAAGCAGTGAAAGATCCGGGTGCGCCAAGACCTGGTGAGCTTGCGGGATGGAGAGGGAGGGACTTGAGGGATGGGGAGGGAGAGGCTTGGGGATACTCCAGGGTAATATGCAGGGGTAGAGTGGCAGAAAACATGACATAAAGAGTGACCCTGTGTGAGAATCTAATGCTGTTCCATTCTACTTATTATAATATTGACTAAACCCTTAGCTACTGGCCAATCACATGTCAGATGTTGTATTTATC